ACTAAATTCAAGTTGTAGTAAGTAATGCAATTGGCTTGATAACTTAATTTTTCTACACCTTGAGTTCAGAATTTCAAGTCCACTCCCACTTAACATGCCTGGACAAGTTCCCACAGTTAAGACAAATATAAATACTACACAAAGGACATTGTTAAGTTGAGTGTCATCTTTTGTCATTCAAATACAGTAGATAGCCTTGTAGTTGCACTGTATAGGCAAATTGTTGTTTGACCAAAATGAGCAGCCTTTGAACTGTGGATAGTTCTGTGAGAGGGTACAAAGTAGTAGAGGCAGAGAGTTTATTTTCTGTGTTTCTTGCTCATTTCATGCAGTGTTTTATATCTATAAAAACAGGGAAGACCTGTTATGGTATGGTATTTGTATTGTACAAATACTTTGGTTACTATTGTGATTTTTTGTGTGGCTTCTGCTCTTCACTTAACCAGTTCAAATATTGTATGGAACCTGCAAAAAAGATGAGAAGGAAACTTGCACGGTTGTGATTATATCGCGATGACAAAATTTGTCGCATTTAAACACTAGGCAAAGTACTCAAAACCACCTCTGTGTGTCTTCAGGACCACATTGCCATGATGACACACATGCAGACTCACAAGGTGAAAACAATACCAGAGTCGCTTTAGCAGCTGGTAATAATGGCTCTGAATTAGAGTGACGGTTTAAAAAGTATACAATTACCTAATTCATTATCTCTTATGCGCCAACCTATTATTTAATTTGCTTCAAAATGACACAAAAGAGTTCGAGGCAGGCCTTGATGGACAACTTGTGATGAATATCGCCATCATCAGTGACCGGTCCAACCTAGGATCTGACCATAAGATGGCAACCATCGTGGTCGAGGGAAACAAATGAATGAGCAAGCATTCTGCTTTAAATGTGTTCATACTGTTTAAAATAAAGTCGGCAGTGTAAACATCTTTGTTACATCTTTTGTCAAATGTATGTGTGTGATCTGTAGCTTGGTGGCCATTGAAAGTTTGTTACTGTAGTTTTACAAAAAGTTTACAGATTTTACATATTTGGCACTGGTTTTAAATATGCAAAGGCCTCTAACTTCGATGTGATGGCAGAATGTATTTGCTATATCCCCCTTTCATTTCCCATGTTTGTTTTTTTCTCAAGATTTAAATGAAGCTCAGCGCAAGTTCTTTCAGGAAGACTGGGGCCTTTTCTCATGTCATCAAATGTCCCTCCTCGACTCCTCGGTCCTCCGGTAGTGACCCGGAAATGAATTTTAGCGCGCCATGTTGAAGGACATCTCATTTCTCGAAATGCACATCGAGGACCGAGCATCGAGCGTCGAGGAGGCTCTCTGGAGGAGCTATAACCGAGGATACACTGATGGGTCCTCCACAGTCCTCCACGGCTCCTTCGTGGATGCATTTCCGGCAACAGTGATGTTTCAAAGAGTCGAGACGCACGGCCGGACTTATCTCAGCCAATGACAGCTCTGCATGCATCCCCTGGATATTATTTTATTAACTGCTTTCATCGCAACGCGATGTTTACAGAGAGAACAGCTGTGAGGTCCGTGCAGAAAGCAGAGCAGTGTGTATAATATATATCACTCAGTATAACAGGCCTAGTCTCCTTATTTGCTTTAGTTTAGTAGATATCTACAAACAAAGTCGATATTTTTCTAAAACCATTTAGTGCTTCACATAATAAAATACACAACGGCTGTAGCCTGATGATATGCTTTAGGAGCTGTAGGTGCGTGTGTGTGGTGTAGGTGTGTGTGGTGCAGTGTGTGCGTAGATGCAGCGGACAGACAGGTCTCAGTTGGTTTGGTGTCCTCTGCTTACTTGTAATACTTGTAAATAAAACTTTTGGCCCGTCATTTATTTCCCTCATTGTAGCGACCAGAGAGGGGGGGGGGTATATATCCAGTCTCTGATAGTGTTACGTTATTATGAGAGTGCTCTGTTTGATTCTGAAATTGTATATATTTATATAAATATATACATATATGTGTGTGTGTGTCTGTGTGTCTGTGTGTATGTCCGCATCTGTAGCCTGTTATTGTCTCATTATACCGCACTGTGAATGAATTAAAAGTAAATATATAAGTCGTCATGAACACATCTGTCCATCAGACAGAGGGCTGCTGTGCCTCCTGTCATCATTAATGGACGTCTCTTTAAAATGACCGCTCAGAGGAGAGGAGTTCTCATTTCTCTAACCACCTGCTGCTTCCCCTCCTCTCTCCTCGGTTCCCCTCCTCGGCTCCTCCGCTCGCATCTCCTGTGGGCGGGACTAAGTCTCGAGGATAGGAGTCGAGGAGGGGAGTCGAGGAGGGACATTTGAAGACATGAGAAAGGGCCCCGGTATATATACATTCACTCCGCAGCTGCATATAATCAGCTCATCACGGGCGTTCTCTTTAACCTATTACATTTCACCTCATTCTCCAGCAGCCAATCACCGTGCTGCAGCCAAACTTTAAAATGGTTCTCCTCTCTCCTGCAGTCAGCTGTGATTTCAGGTGTTCATGCTGCCGCCCGCCTCCTCCCCATCCACCTCCTTTCATCCTATCCAGTGTCAGGAGAGCTAATCCAAGACCTCATCACATCCCCTCTTCATCCCATCTCCTCATCAAATCCAGATCTTCAGCATCATCACCAGTGTCTAGACCCCGGGGTGTTCCCTATATGCTCACGGCTGCATCCCCCCTTAGCATAGCATTTGTTTTTAGAGTGTAGTGACATCACTATGTAACACTCTTCTATTGGCTAAGGGGCGGGACATCTCTAAGCGGTTGACCAATCACAACAAAGCCGGTCAGCTAACCAAAAGAGGTGCTGCATCACAGGCAGTATGAGAAAAATAAAGAGCTTTTTGAACATTAAAGCATGGAGACATGTCCCAGTAGAGACACTACATACTGATATACACCTGAACATCAGCAGGAGAGGACTCTTTAAAGTAGAGACACTACATACTGATATACACCTGAACATCAGCAGGAGAGGACTCTTTAAAGTAGAGACACTACATACAGATATACACCTGAACATCAGCAGGAGAGGACTCTTTAAAGTACAGACACCACATACTGATATACAGCTGAACATCAGCAGGAGAGGACTCTTTAAAGTAGAGACACTACATACTGATATACACCTGAACATCAGCAGGAGAGGACTCTTTAAAGTAGAGACACTACATACTGATATACACCTGAACATCAGCAGGAGAGGACTCTTTAAAGTAGAGACACTACATACTGATATACACCTGAACATCAGCAGGAGAGGACTCTTTAAAGTAAAGACACTACATACTGATATACACCTGAACATCAGCAGGAGAGGACTCTTTAAAGTAAAGACACTACATACTGATATACACCTGAAGATCAGCAGGAGAGGACTCTTTAAAGTAGAGACACTACATACTGATATACACCTGAACATCAGCAGGAGAGGACTCTTTAAAGTAGAGACACTACATACTGATATACACCTGAACATCAGCAGGAGAGGACTCTTTAAAGTAAAGACACTACATACTGATATACACCTGAACATCAGCAGGAGAGGACTCTTTAAAGTAGAGACACTACATACTGATATACACCTGAACATCAGCAGGAGAGGACTCTTTAAAGTAAAGACACTACATACTGATATACACCTGAACATCAACAGGAGAGGACTCTTTAAAGTAGAGACACTACATACTGATATACACCTGAACATCAACAGGAGAGGACTCTTTAAAGTAGAGACACTACATACTGATATACACCTGAACATCAGCAGGAGAGGACTCTTTAAAGTAAATGCACTACATACTGATATACACCTGAACATCAGCAGGAGAGGACTCTTTAAAGTAGAGACACTACATACTGATATACACCTGAACATCAGCAGGAGAGGACTCTTTAAAGTAAAGACACTACATACTGATATACACCTGAACATCAGCAGGAGAGGACTCTTTAAAGTAGAGACACTACATACTGATATACACCTGAACATCAGCAGGAGAGGACTCTTTAAAGTAGAGACACTACATACTGGTGGTTGCACTCAAAGGGCCGGTTGTAACTTTCAATCTCAATCTTTCCTTATTCATATAGCACATTTAAAACAACCTCAGTTGACCAAAGTGCTGTACAGGGAACAAATATAAAATAACACAATAGGAGTAAAATAATAAAACCATAATACAAAATAAGATAAAAAGCACAATAACTAGAAACATATAAAAACACATACAAACGTTATGATCAACTAGTATTAAAAGCCAGTTCAAAACGTTAAGACTATATATAAATACATATATAAATATATTATATATATGGATTATTATTGGATAGGGTAATAACTTCACCATTAACTACGTCTGAAAAGCAGAAGTCTAGGGCAAAAAATTGCAAATCTCTTCAGTGTGCACGTCACAAAATGAAATGCATTGTGGGACATGTAGTTTATGGACAACGGGCTTCTGTAAAGCGACATTCAACGTATAATAAACATATTATATTCTTTGCTAGCTCTTACGGGCCAGATAACATATATTCGTGGGCCGCATTTGGCCCCCGGGCCTTTAGTTTGACACCGCAGCTCTAGGGTGACAAGTACATGCTGTATTTTTCAATAAGATAAACAGATTCAGCAAAGATGGAAACAGTGGCAAATCTTGTCCACATACTGCACTTGGTGTTGAGCCACACAGGGCCTGGAATCGAGTCATCTTAAAATAAACATCCAGATTGTGTTCAATGTAAGTTTGGCTCGGTCCTCCACAGTGACTGGATATTAGCTCAAACTGATCCGTCTCGTATCGGCCTGAATTATTCCTCTGTTGCTTTACTGAATACGTGTCTGAAGTTTTTCTATATGGTGTCATATTAGCTGCTGGTGTTAACCTCATTCTCATCGAAACACTTCTCCTTCAGTTCTTAGAAGAAAAACACTGGAGGTGAAATGAGGAACCAGAAAACATCTTGCCACGTTCAACTTCCCCTCTTCTGTCGCTTATCTGCTGTTATCATCGGTACTGAGTTCTTGTTAAAGAAGCAGCCGGTGAGAGACTCTGACAGTCGAGAGCCAGAGACCGAGAGAGAAGCACGATGTCTGAATTCAGAAGGATCATGATGTCTTCATTCCTGATGCTGCTGCTCCACTTTCCAGGTGAGGATGCAGAGAACACACACTGTTTACGACTGTTAATGAAAGGTAGTGAGGGCGTCTTTCAATTGAAATCGATGTATCCTTGGGCAAGATGCTTCACCCCAAGTCGCTCCCAATGGGGAACGGTGTGTGAATGATACCTTCTGTCGTGGTGTTTGAATCAGTTTCTACATTTAATATCCACTTTCCTCTATCGGGGTTGTGGGTTATGACGCGCCTCTCTTTGCTTCCTAACTAACTTTGCAGAGATCGTTGTAGCGTTGAATCACATCAGGTTTAGTCTTTGATCAAGACGACATACAAACATGAAGACAAACTTCCTCGCTTCAAAGTAACTAAAAGTTCTCCGTATCAAAAAAGAACAAAAAGAACAAAAAGAACAAAAAGAACACGGTCAAAAGACTCTACTGCTTCCTGTCTAATCACACCCTTAGCTGTGAACCAATGTCATGCCATATATAGACATATATACATGCACGTCATACCTGACAGCAAATAAGTGAGACTTAAATTAACATCTTTCAAAGCGTAGTGTGACTCACAAAAATAGATAGTTAAGAGTTTCCTCTAAAGCCTTTTAGTAATAAGACAAACATTCAAACCATAATGATGAAAGGGAAATGGCTCTAACCCCTTCATTGAGCAAGGGGCACATTGCTCTGTATGAATTGGGTGTGAATGGGTGACTTGTTGTATGTAAAGCGCTTTGAGGGGGTGAAAGACTGGATAAAGCGCTTTATAAATACAGTCCATTTACCATTTACCAATTACATTAAATAAAACAGCTTTAATATCAGTAACGGTACTTTACTACGTACTGTTCCTTTAACTGAGAGTGATGAGTTGTGTTTGTAACGTGGTGACTTTAGTGAACTCTTGGTCACTAAAACCCACATAGCAATATTCTTTAAAGTGATCGTCACACTCACTATGAACACTTCAGTTAGTGATGTGGATCTGTAATTAACTCCGGTTTGAATGTGTCGTTAAATGATTCATTAAACAGATCAACCAGAACTCTAACTCTTTACCTTTTTATATAATACATCATTATTCTGTCAGCATTTATGACGTCTATATTTCTTTCTGCTTTTTTCCCCCAACAGCTGCAGATGTGAAACGTTACTACCCCATTGTCAGAGCTGGAGATGAAGTCACTTTGCCTTTTGACAATGTGATAGATGATCAGGATAAGTGTGAGAGTACTAGGTGGACCTTCTATGATTCAAGAGGTTCAGCAGCAGTAGAGCTGGTTGAAGGCGGGCAGATTCAGAACGAAGCAAAAGCTAAATCAGACAGACTGAGAGTTACAGAGAAATGTTCTCTGGTTATAAAGAAGGTCACAGAGGAGGATGCTGGTCGTTACCTCTGCAGACAGTTCAGATCAGGACAACAACAAGGTCCAGGCTCTCCTGTTGATCTGTCTGTTGTTACCAGTGAGTATTTACATCATAATGTTTTCAAACTGTCTCTAAACTGAAACATTCCAATAATGATGATGATTACAGTGATGAAGTACATTTAAATATTGTTACATATTGTGGTTGTCTTTTCTCTCACAATATCTCCATCTTCAGTGACTGAACATCAGGACAATGATGAGGTGACGTTAAACTGCTCTGTGGTGCCATATGGAGGGTGTAGATCCACAGTGAAGTGGCTGCTTCAGGGTCGAGGTGTGGATACAGATCACAGAGAGATAAATACATCACAGTCTCTCTGCTCTGCCTCTGTGACATTTCTGACTTCTCATTTTAGTAACACATCAAGGTCTGAGTTGTTTACTTGTGTAGTAAGAGATGAGTACACAGGAGAAGAACATCTGTTTCCTTTCAGCCCTCAGTCCTCAGGTGAGAACATGTTTAGATGTTTATGTTACTTTATACTGATATAAAATGACTTTTTGTTATTTTATGGAAGTTTCAGAATAAATTGTTTATTAAGCTGTTTTCATCTATTTAGGTGAGGACACAAAACCAACAACTACTAATCTACCACCACCACCACCACCACCACCAACAACAACAACCACAGCAATAACAACTGAAACCAACAAAAACTCAGGTATGGATTAAGTGATTTACTTTACTGTTTGATGGTTACAGGACAGAACCACAGCTGTTTCTCTTCAGTCCTCAGGTGAGAATATGATGAGCTCTTTAAAAATCATTCATCCTGATGCATCACATCTTTATGCTTCATTTTTACAACTGTACAGCATTTTGTTATTTTATTCATTAAGGTGAGGATAAAGGGAATGTGACTACAGTGTCAACAACATGGACAACAGTGAAAATCAGCACACCCCAAACTTCATCTGAAGAGGACACAAATCAAGGTAGTAACTGAAAGAAAAGATACATCATCGTTGTGATTGTGGAAGTTGCAGCACTCACAATAATCACTGTGGCTGTCATCAGACGGAAGAGGACTCAAGGTGAGGACATTCACACATTATACTTTACAAACAAGAAGCTTTTGATGAACTGGATCTTAACTGTGAAAGATTAAGTCAATTTTCTCTTTTTTTTCTTGTAAGAGACCAGAACAGAGACCGATGATGACATGGTGAGTTTTAAAATGGAATAATTGGATTATTATTTATTTATTTAATTGTTATTTCATCAATCGTTCCACCTTAAACGGGATAATTAAACCACTTTTCTGAATTTGTTAAACAGAAAGTAAGAGGTCAAAAGATTCATAATTAAATAACTAATAATAATATATTTTATTTGTGCAGGCTGATCCTGAAGATGGTGTTTCCTACGCCTCCATCAGCTACACCAGGAAGAGCAGCAGGAAAGCCAGGGTAAGCTGTCTCATTGATTACACTGGTGATGTAAATAAAGGAAGAAACTATTGATATGATTTAGAATCTAAGAATACCCTCCTTTATCATCTATTGTTCTCTAAATGGGACCATAATATACATTATTTATTAAAGAAGAATTGAAACTAGAGATAGTCACCATAAACACATCAGGAAAATGTTTACTATGGTAATGAATCAAGTGGGAAGTAGGGTCATTTCCACAAAGACTTCTATACAATCGGACTACTTTTTGGAACCAGATGTGTTTCCCCCTGCTGGCCATGAGAGGAAATGCAGGTTTAATGCACTTCAAAAAGCTGAAGCTGTGGGAATGACTCATGGCAGCAAAATCAGGACTTTCAGAGCTCTTTTGTTTGCATTTCATGATATTAACTCTTTCCCTCCAGGCTCACCTTCATGATGATGATGAAAATGATGCAGTGACCTACAGCACTGTGAGAGCTCCCTCCTCTTCCTCTGCTGCCTCCGCTGATCCCAGCCTCCTCTACGCCACCGTCAACAAACAGAGAAAATAAAACAATTAAATGTTGTATAAAAAACTAAATGGCATGCTTTTTTGGATCATAGATTTAGAATTGTAAGCAGGGGCTTTTCTAGAAAGATACGGTAAGAGGGCAATACTGTGGCGCTGATCTTGTATAAAAGATTCATCAATTCTCATGAGAACATGACGCCCGTATACAAGATGGCGTTGCGGACGTAAACAACAACGCTTCCTAAAAACAAAGCTGTATCTGCCGTCTGACGCTCTACACAATATTTATATTTTGGGAGTAATTATAACATTTTTGTCGAACAGAAATATTGTTTTCTAGCATCAGTTTAACATTTAACGGGGTAATATCTGCATTTTGGTATGAGGGCGCTGACGTAAGTAAGAGGACGCAGAGCTCATGTTACCCAGTTTAGACAAAACCCTGGTAAGGGCAAAGCAGAGTTATAATAAGATTTATATTAATGATATTATGCTTTTTCTTTGCTTAATAACATCAAACAGAGAATACAGCAGCAGCTTTATGAAAACATGTGAGTTCCTCTAGAGGTGGGTTGTGAAAAAGGGGGCAGACATGTTGGAGATTGACTGGATTCTTAATATTTACAGCATGGGCATAACACAGTGGCGAGCCGTCAGGGCCCTCTAGGCCCTCTGTGAGGGCCTAAGATATTCTAAAAAATAATATTTAAAAACATTTAAAAAAAATTTTTTTTTTAAATATATATTTTTTTAATATTATTTTTGTTATATTTTTCATTAGTTTTACCAAAATAACTTGATTTAATTGTATTTAAAATAACATTTCCAAAGAAATAAATCCTTCCAATCTGTCTGTTCAGTCTCTGTTTGAATGTGAAGGGTTACATGAAAGAAGCTCGTCTGGCCCTCTCTGCGATTCACAGAGGGCCCGCTATAGTAACTGAACGAGAGAGTAATGTCAAATGACAGTACAATTGACCAATCATATCTTCCCTCTAAATGGGTGGGTTTTATTATCGCGGAGTTTATGACAAGTTCCGCCCGCTGTGAAACTTTTCTTGTTTCCATAGCAACAACAACTTCCTGTCAACAGCGTGAACTCGCCTTCAAAATAAAAGCATGCCAAATTACACTTAAGACATACAACTGCAACGAAAGTAACAAACACAATGCAATATCATTTTCAATGTCAAAGAACACAAATTGGGTTCACAGGTGTTGTTTTGTGTGGTAGAGGGTCGCTGTCATTGATGCGTTTTGCACCCTGCGCCGTTGTTTTGATATTCCGCTGAAGTATACGCTGTGACGTAATAACTATTTTTTTTTCTTTTTTTCGAGGGAATTGGTGGGGGTCAGAGGGCCTAGGTATAAAGCTCACGGCTCGCCACTGGCATAACATGTAGTAGCTCAGCAGGTAATCAGAGGTGTGGTTGAGTTGTCACCTAGTTCATAAGTAATATTCATGTTGGATGCACATGAGCTCTTTTTGTAAATACAAATTATCCTGAGACATCTTAAAGGGACCAAAGATTCATAATTTCAGTGTGCAGAGCATGACAATAACTTGCTAGTTTTATTAAGAATGTCAGAACAACATGCAGGTACATGTGTTAAAAAGTCATTAATTATACTTCATTAGAGTTCATTTATACAATAGTTACCGTTTCCATTACTCATGTCTCTGTTTTGTATCTGGTCAACAACATTGGTTTAGACCTGCAGAGCTCTGCTGCTGCTGCTGCCACAGCCACAACAAAACCTCCATCTTGGTTCTCAGAGGAGCAATTCACATAGAAAAACCACCAGGTCTCAGAGCACTGTGTGTGCATTCAAACACCATTAGCAAGTAGGTTTTCTGATAAAAATGATATAAAAAAAACAATACTGCAAGTATTTATGAAAAGGAATCATTCATAAGAGTAATAATACACCAACAACTACATCATATATAATGCTATATGTACATTCTCTGCAGGGTTTTGCTTTAAGCACGTACCTTATCTGCTCAGCATCAGAGGGTAAAACCACAGGTTAACCGGGTTAACAACCAGGTTAACCTGTGGTTAACCACATCCTCACAGAAACACTCCTTCAGTTCTCAGAAGGGAAATAAAGAAGCAGCCGGTGAGAGACTCTGACAGTCGAGAGCCAGAGACCGAGAGAGAAGCACGATGTCTGAATTCAGAAGGATCATAATGTCTTCATTCCTGATGCTGCTGCTCCACTTTCCAGGTGAGGATGCAGAGAACACACACTGTTTACGACTGTTAATGAAAGCTAGTGAGGGCGTCTTTCAATTGAAATCGATGTATCCTTGGGCAAGATGCTTAACCCCAAGTCCCTCCCAATGGGGAACGGTGTGTGAATGATACCTTCTGTCGTGGAGTTTTAATCAGTTTCTACATTTAATATCCACTTTCCTCTATCGGGGTTGTGGGTTATGACGCGCCTCTCTTTGCTTCCAAACTAGCTTTGCGGAGATCGTTGTAGCGTTGAATCACATCAGGTTTATTCTTTGATCAAGGCGACATACAAACATGAAGACAAACTTCCTCGCTTTAAAGTAACTAAAAGTTCTCCGTATCAGAAAAGAACAAAAATAACCATCCTGAGACTTCCTGCCAGAGAGAACCAAAGACTCATCTCTGCAGTGTGCAGAACATGAAGCTCAGTCAGATAAAACATCTTGGAGAGTTGAGTGCAGCGTCCTATAGTCAGGTCAGAGAGACTGCTCTAAGAATGGCACATCCAGAAGAGTCTGCAGTGTGTAGAGCATGAAACTATTTCAAAACAACATGAACATTACACCGGCTAATACATGTGTTTGAAAGTAGGCCATTCAAGTGAGTTTCATTAGATGCTAGTTGAGTTTATTAATGTTTCTGATGGTTATGTGGTCGGCATCAGAGTGTAAAACCTGCAGAGCTCTGCTGCTGCTGTTAACCACATCTTCACAGAAACGCTTCTTCAGTTCTCGGAAAAAATATAAATAAATTTTCAGAGATACAAAGAGGAACCACCATGTTGTTAACATGCATTAAAACTAGCCATCGTTACATGCTCAACTTCCTCTGTTGTGTTGCTGATGAAGAAGGCCTACAGTTACCGTCACTCTAGAAATGCATCAAACATGAAAATCTGATGTTAAAAAAGTGTCTTACTCTTTTTATTACACAACAATATCACACGATATCACACATTAACCCAACGGCCATCAGAGGAGAGATGGGTGAGGAAGTGACTCTTCATTATCACAGGAAGTAGATACTGAGTTCTTGTTAAAGAAGCAGCAGGTTAGAGACTCTGACAGTCGAGAGCCAGAGACCGAGACAGAAGCACGATGTCTGAATTCAGAAGGATCATGATGTCTTCATTCCTGATGCTGCTGCTCCACTTTACAGGTGAGGATGCAGAGAACACACTTTAAATAAAACAGCTTTAATATCACTAACGGTACTTTACTACGTACTGTTCCTTTAACTGAGAATGATGAGTTGTGTTTGTAATGTGGTGACTTTAGTGAACTCTCAGAAACCAAAACTCTCACAGAGATACATTTTCAAACTTCTGTATCTACTGTATAATTATCATCATGTTAAATGTTAACACTACAGTTGTATTCATATTTATTTCTGTCTTTGTTTTTTTAAACAGCTGCAGATGTGAAAGATTACTTCCGTATTGTCAGAGTTGGACATAAAGTTGCTTTGCCTTTTGACAATGTGATAGATGATAAGTGTAAGAATACTACCTGGAGCTTCAGTGATTCAAGAAGCTCAGTGACGCTGTTTGAAGGCAGAAAGATTCACAAAGAAGCCAAAGCTAAATCAGACAGACTGAGAGTCACAAAAAACTGTTCTCTGGTTATAAAGAAGGTCACAGAGGAGGATGCTGGTCGTTACACCTGCAGACAGTTCAGATCAGGACAACAACAAGGTCCAGACTCTCAGGTTGATCTGTCTGTTGTTACCAGTGAGTATTCATATGATAATTTCTTCAAACTGTCTCTATCAATACAATTAAACTTTACAATAATTACGATAACAGTGATTAAGTTGTATTTTTGTTGTCTTTCTCTCATAATATCTTCATCTTCAGTGACTGAACATCAGGACAATGATGAGGTGACGTTAAACTGCTCTGTGTTGACATATGGAAACTGTACACACTCAGTGAAGTGGCTGCTTCAGGGTCGAGATGTGGCTAAAGATCACAGAGAGATGAATACATCACAGTCTTCCTGCTCTGCCTCTGTGACATTTCTGACTTCTCATTTTAGTAACACATCAAGGTTTAAGTTTAAATGTAATGTAACTGATGAAAACACAAGAGAAGAACATCTGTTTCCCTATAGACCTCTGTCCTCAGGTGAGAACAAGTTGAGATGTTTAAGTTACTAGTTATTTAAAATTATTCATCCTGATGTGAATAATTACAAGAAATGTGTGTTTATCTGAGGTTTTAACATCCCATCATTCTGTTATGATGACGATTATGTTTTGTTTTTAAAACTGTACACTATATGGTTTTTCAAACAGGACAAGACTACAAACCAGCAAATCAAGGTAGAGACTGAACAGAACAGAGACAGTTACAATTCATGTTGTTGATTCAGATTTTAAAGACAAAGAGATAGAAACCTCTGAGTATATGTAACTCTTCTAACTTCTCTCTTCCAGGTCGGTGGTGGTGGATCATCGTTGTGATAGTGGGTGTTGCAGCACTCACAATACTCACTGTGGCTGTCATCAGACGGAAGAGGACTCAAGGTGAGGACATTCACACATTATACTTTACAAACAACAAGCTTTTGATAAAGATGGATTTGAACCCAAGTCTCATTTATTTGTTATTCTTTTTAGGAACTTTTACGCAGACGGATGACAACGTGGTGAGTTTAATCATTGATAAATAAAATGTTTTAAAACTGAACAATATAATATTTATAAAATAATGATTTCAATAATGTAGCAGGGTTCAAGGTTTTTGATATGCACTTTTCATGTTGTGGTTAACCTAAAACTTCATAAAAAAATCAACAAACAGTTATGACTGTAGTCGAAGAAGATGGACCTCCATGCACATGCTTCTTATGGCACATACAAATACACACAGTAATGTTTTGCACATGCATTGAGAGGTCCAGAGTGGAGAGGCAGCCAGTCTAGCCAGGAGCAGTTGGGGGTTAGGTGGCTTGCTCAAGGGCACCTCGGCAGTGGCCCAGGAGGTGAACAGGTACCAGTCCACACTCCGTATTTTTTTGCCTAACCCTAACCCGGGAAGTCCCACTGCCGCCCGGGTGTTGTACGTTGCATCAAAAGACAGAGTGAATTAAAGGCAGTATTTCTTATTGGCCTGTGCTTCTTACTTAGCAGCTATTGTGTTATAGGTGACATTAATAATAACTATCATAATACATTTTCTTTGTGTAGGCTGATCTTGAAGATGGTGTTTCCTATGCCTCCATCAGCTACACCAGGAAGAGCAGCAGGAAAGCCAGGGTGAGCTGTCTCATTGATTACACTGGTGATGTGACTTTATCGTCTATTCTACTCTAAATGTGAGCATAACTCACCGAACATCATGCTGTATTAAAGAAGACTTGGAAACTGAGATTGAGAACATAAAATCTGCAGGAAAATGTTTATTGAGGATATAAATCAAGTGAGACGTAGGGTCATTTTCTCACAGACTTCTATACAATCAAGACTTTCAGAACTCCTTTATGCATAATCACTTTTCTTCCCCTGCAGGCTCACCTTCATGATGATGATGATGAAGATGAAGCAGTGACCTACAGCACTGTGGGAGCTCCCTCCTCTTCCTCTGCTGCCTCCGCTGATCCCAGCCTCCTCTACGCCACCGTCAACAAACCAAGAAAGAAACCGATGTAATGTTTAAATCAATAGCATGATCGCTTGGATCAAAGATTTAGAGTTTAAGGGCACAGCTAGCAGAGTTTAATCAGATTTATATTAACCTTTTTTGGCTTAAATGCATCAAAGTGAGAGTAGAGCAGCAGCTTTATGAAAACATGTGAGTCCCTCTAGAGGTGGATTGTGAAAAAGGTTCAGACATGTTGGAGATTTACTGTATTCTTAATAATTAGAGCATGAGCAAAATGATTTTTTAAATTAATTCTTGCTTGGTTTAATTAACCGTTGTTTAGTTATATCATTTAATGGAATATTGCTTTTTCTTTAGTATAATTGATTGTGTTGTATTTTACCAAATGAAGTTACCTAATAGCCTTAACAGACTGCAGATGTATTTCCATGTAACACCTTTTAAGTGAAATATGTTTTGCTTTGTTTGGAGTTTTGTGTTGGAAATAAAAAACGTTCTCAGGTGAAAATAAACTCTTTTAAAGGTGTTCTTGTTCAGCTGTCTTTAGCTTCAAACACTTTTATTTTCTCACCAGTAGGAAGCAGCAGAGATCCTCCCAACATGTGGAGGTCTCTACTGTCCTCTCACACTGAGAAGCAGATCTCTGCAGACACAAACACAAACACTCTCTCATGTGTGAATAATGTGAGTATAGGTTGAGTTAGTGAACTGTGTGCTTCTGAAAGTGCTGCAGCAGAGGGAGCTTGTGCAATGACAGTTTACTTTACTGTAAAACAAAGCATATGTTTTGCATGATATACTTTACAAGAAGCAAGCACATTTAGAATAGCAAATGATTATTAAATTATGCAATCGAAACTTTAGGAAAAAAAAGTTAAACAAATGTTCAAATTAATAGATTTGCATTCAAATATCTTACTTTGAAAAATAGTCCTGTTTTTTTGTGTGGTGCAAATATCTCGTTTTTTGGTGGATTGTCATGTTTTCAGATTAGATTTAGAATGGGAAGTGAAAATGGAAGTAGTGAAAGCATGGAGAAATAAAAGAGGGAAGGAGAAAATGGAGACATGGAGTGAAAATGTAGTGATATTTCATGTTTGTCTGCAAATAAACTAAGCCCCAGTGCACCAAAAGATGAGTTTCAGGAACATTAACACAACTACCAGATATTTAGAGTGAATAAGGCGGACAGTATTTCCCCTTTGATATGAAAACATAGTAAGTAGGAAAAGAGAGTGAAGTTTTTAAAAACAAAGTTATTTTCTCCCCTTATCTGTTACCAGAGAACATATTTAATACAATAAAATAATGCATATTTAAAGATTTTAAGAAAAAGGGTTTTTGTGCAGATTCACTTTAAAGGGGCTTTTGGGAGGGTTTCCAGTTCCTGTAGTGTTATATAGGTTTTAGTTCATGTAAACGTCTGCAAAGGCTAAAATCCCCCAAAATCTACTCCCGGAACATAGTGACATCACTCTGTAACACTCTTCTATTGGCTAAGGGGCGGGACATCTCTAAGCGGTTGTCCAATCACAACAGAGCCGGCCAGCTAACCAATCAGAGCAGACTGGGCTCTGGTTTCAGGCAGAGGGTGAAAAGAGGTGCTGCAGCCTTCCTCTTCCTCTGCTGCCTCCGCTGATCCCAGCCTCCTCTTCGCCACCGTCAACAAACCAAAAATATAATACTGTTTAATGCTGTATTTTAAACTATGGCACAATTGTTATAACCATATTACAAAGTCAAAGCGAGCAGAGTTATAATAAGATTTATATTGACCAGGTTTTTGCTTTTTTTGGCTTAATAGCATCAAAGTGAGAGTACAGCAAAACATGTGAGTCCCTCTAGAGGTGGATCGTGAAAAAGGGGCAGACATGTTGGAGATTTACTGTATTCTTAATACTTACAGTGTGGGCATAATGAAGGTTTTGTAAAGTGGATTCTGGCTTTTTTATTACAGTCTTTTCTTTAATATAATTCAATGGAGTATTGCTTTTTCTTCAGTACATTTGACTGTTTTGTATTTTACTAAATAAAGTGATCTATTAGCCTTTCAAGAGTGCAGATGTATTTATTTGTATGGTTTTTCCTAATATGACTTTCTCTAAACATCAGGTGTGTTCTTAAAGTACACAGTTTCACTAGTGACTCCACTGATCAACAACACTGCCTTTTGTTATCACTGCATATTCATAATTTGAACATGAAAGCATATTGATAACCACCTCCTGCTGTTATATATACTAACTGTGTGTGCTGTGCTCTGCATGTGTGACCATTAAAGAGGGTTTCATCCCGATTCTATATCTATTTAATATATATTCTATATGACTACATGTACATCACTCTGCATTGTTCTGCTTTTTGCTCTAATCTTATCTGGTCAGCATCAGAGGGTAAAACCTCCAGAGCTCTGCTGCTGTTGATAACCACATTCTCACAGAAACACTTCTCCTTCAGTTCTCAGAAGAGAAATACAGAAGCAACAGCAGAGGACTCTTTAAAGTAGAGACACTACATACTGATATACACCTGAACATCAGCAGGAGAGGACTCTTTAAAGTAGAGACACTACATACTGATATACACCTGAACATCAGCAGGAGAGGACTCTTTAAAGTAGAGACACTACATACTGATATACACCTGTACATCAGCAGGAGAGGACTCTTTAAGATAGAGACACACACTACATACTGATATACACCTGAACATCAGCAGGAGAGGACTCTTTAAAGTAGAGACACTACATACTGATATACACCTGAACATCAGCAGGAGAGGACTCTTTAAAGTAGAGACACTACATACTGATATACACCTGAACATCAGCAGGAGAGAACTCTTTAAAGTAGAGACACTACATACTGATATACACCTGAACACCAGCAGCAGAGGACTCTTTAAAGTAGAGAGACTAAATACTGATATACACCTGAACATCAGCAGGAGAGAACTCTTTAAAGTAGAGACACTAAATACTGATATACACCTGAACATCAGCAGGAGAGGACTCTTTAAAGTAGAGACACTACATACTGATATACACCTGAACATCAGCAGGAGAGGACTCTTTAAAGTAGAGACACTACATACTGATATACACCTGAACATCAGCAGCAGAGGACTCTTTAAAGTAGAGACACTAAATACTGATATACACCTGAACATCAGCAGGAGAGGACTCTTTAAAGTAGAGACACTACATACTGATATACACCTGAACATCAGCAGGAGAGGACTCTTTAAAGTAGAGACACTACATACTGATATACACCTGAACATCAGCAGGAGAGGACTCTTTAAAATAGAGACACTACATACTGATATACACCTGAACATCAGCAGGAGAGGACTCTTTAAAGTAGAGACACTACATACTGATATACACCTGAGCATCAGCAGGAGAGGACTCTTTAAAGTAGAGTCACTACATACTGATATACACCTGGACATCAGCAGCAGAGGACTCTTTAAAGTAGAGACACTACATACTGATATACACCTGAACATCAGCAGGAGAGGACTCTTTAAAGTAGAGACACTACATACTGATATACACCTGAACATCAGCAGGAGAGGACTTTTTAAAGTAGAGACACTACATACTGATATACACCTGAACATCAGCAGGAGAGGACTCTTTAAAGTAGAGACACTACATTCTGATATACACCTGAACATCAGCAGGAGAGAACTCTTTAAAGTAGAGACACTACATACTGATATACACCTGAACATCAGCAGGAGAGGACTCTTTAAAGTAGAGACACTACATACTGATATACACCTGAACATCATCAGGAGAGGACTCTTTAAAGTAGAGACACTACATACTGATATACACCTGAACATCAGCAGGAGAGGACTCTTTAACGTGGACCTATCATGCTATATTTGAATAATATAGTGTAGGGCCATACCTATATAAGGCATATTTATACTTTTTTTTTTTCAAAATACCAAACAGATCATGCATTTTAGCCATGCCTCATTTTGCTCAATTTGACATTTTTTAGCTCTGTTTTTGCAAGGGCAGATTCTGTGAGAACAGCACCATCTACAGGCCTGGCATATGTACTACAGCGTCTCCAGTCAGCGAAATGCATCACACTTACAAATCTGATGATAAAAAGTGTTTTACTTTATTTATAACACTAAAGAATGAGAGATGAAATGCTCGTGTCACACATGGAGTCAACAACTATCAGAGGAGAGATGAAGTCAGAATTAGGAAATGACTTCTAAACCACAGGAAGTAGATAGTTATTATTAAAGATCAGCAGTTTAGAGACTCTGACAGTCGGGAGCCAGAGACCGAGAGAGAAGCACGATGTCTGAATTCAGAAGGATCATAATGTCTTCATTCCTGATGCTGCTGCTCCACTTTACAGGTGAGGATGCAGAGAACACACTTTAAATAAAACAGCTTTAATATCACTAATGGTACTTTACTACGTACTGTTCCTTTAACTGAGAATGATGAGTTGTGTTTGTAACGTGGTGAGTTTAGTGACCTATTGGACACTCAAACCAAAATAGTGAAATGTGCAATATTCTGTATCTAAAGTGATCATCACACTCATTATGAACACTAAAGTTCTACTTGAGCAGGTCTCCCTTGAAAAAGAGATCAATGATCTCAATGGCATACACCTGGATAAATAAAGGTTTGAAATGAAATGAAATGAAAGTTATATTTGATTCCTCAACAGATGCTCATGCTGATTATAAACACTACAGTTGTTTTCATATTTGTTTCCGTCTTTGTTTTTTTAAACAGCTGCAGATGTGAAAGATTACACCCTCACTGTGAGAGTTGGAGATGAAGTCACTTTGCCTTTTGAAAATGTGATAGATGATCAGGATGAGTGTAACGGTACTACCTGGTTCTTCAGTGATTCAAATAGCATAGTGACGCTGTTTGAAGGCGGACAGATTCACAACGATACCAAAGCTAAATCAGACGTGTTGAAATAAACTGTTCTCTGGTTATAAAGAAGGTCACAGAGGAGGACGCTGGTTATTACACCTGCAGACAGTTCAGATCAGGAGAACAACAAGGTCAAGACTCTCGTGTTGATCTGTCTGTTGTTACCAGTGAGTATTTACATCATCATGTTTTCAAACTTTCTTGTTTAAACAATATACTGAAACATTATTATAATAATAATGATTACAGTGATGAAGTTAATGTTCATCTTGTTGTCTTTCTCTCACAATATCTCCATCTTCAGTGACTGAACATCAGGACAATGATGAGGTGACGTTAGACTGCTCTGTGGTGCCATATGGAGGGTGTAGATCCACAGTGAAGTGGCTGCTTCAGGGTCGAGGTGTGGATACAGATCACAGAGAGATAAATACATCACAGTCTCTCTGCTCTGCCTCTGTGACATTTCTGACTTCTCATTTTAGTAACACAACAAGGTCTGAGTTGTTTACTTGTGTAGTAAGAGATGAGTACACAGGAGAAGAACATCAGTTTCCTTTCAGCCCTCAGTCCTCAGGTGAGAACATGATTAGATGTTTATGTTACTTTAAACTGATATAAAATGACTTTTTGTTATTTTATGGAAGTTTCAGAATAAATTGTTTATTAAGCTGTTTTCATCTATTTAGGTGAGGACACAAAACCAACAACTACTAATCTACCACCACCACCACCACCAACAACAACAACAACAACCACAGCAATAACAACTGAAACCAACAAAAACTCAGGTATGGATTAAGTGATTTACTTTACTGTTTGATGGTTTCAGGACAGAACCACAGCTGTTTCTCTTCAGTCCTCAGGTGAGAATATGATGAGCTCTTTAAAAATCATTCACCCTGATGCGTCACATCTTTATGCTTCATTTTTACAACTGTACAGCATGTTGTTATTTTATTCATTAAGGTGAGGATAAAGGGAATGTGACTACAGTGTCAACAACATGGACAGCAGTGAAAATCAGCACAACCAAAACTTCATCTGAAGAGGACACAAATCAAGGTAGTAACTGAAAGAAAAGATACATCAACATTTAGAAAAGACGTGCAGCCAGAAGACATGTTGTTGATTCAGAGTTTAAAGACAAGGATATAAAAACCTCTAAGTATATGTAACTCTTCTAACTTCTCTCTTCCAGGTTGGTGGTGGTGGATCATCGTTGTGATAGTGGGTGTTGCAGCACTCACAATAATCACTGTGGCTGTCATCAGACGGAAGAGGACTCAAGGTGAGGACATTCACACATTATACTTTACAAACAAAAAGCTTTTGATAAACTGGATCTTAACTGTGGAAGATTAAGTCCATTTTCTCTTTTTTTTTCTTGTAAGGGACCAGAACAGAGACCGATGATGACATGGTGAGTTTTAAAATGGAATAATTGGATTATTGCACAATTGTTATTTCATAAATCGTTCCACCTTAAACAGGATAATTAAACCACTTTTCTGAATTTGTTAAACAGAAAGTAAGAGGTCAAAAGATTCATAATTAAATAACTAATAATAATATATTTTATTTGTGCAGGCTGATCCTGAAGATGGTGTTTCCATACGCCTCCATCAGCTACACCAGGAAGAGCAGCAGGAAAGCCAGGGTAAGCTGTCTCATTGATTTCACTGGTGATGTTAATAAAGGAAGAAACTATTGATATGATTTAGAATCTAAGAATACCCTCCTTTATCATCTATTGTTCTCTAAATGGGACCATAATATACATTATTTATTAAAGAAGAATTGAAACTAGAGATAGTCACCATAAACTCATCAGGAAAATGTTTACTATGGTAATGAATCAAGTGGGCAGTAGGGTCATTTCCACAAAGACTTCTATACAATCGGACTACTTTTTGGAACCAGATGTGTTTCCCCCTGCTGGCCATGAGAGGGAATGCAGGTTTAATGCACTTCCAAAGCTGAAGCAGAGGGAATGACTCATGGCAGCAAAATCAGGACTTTCAGAACTCTTTTGTTTGCATTTCATGAGATTTACTCTTTCTCTCCAGGCTCACCTTCATGATGATGATGAAGATGATGCAGTGACCTACAGCACTGTGAGAGCTCCCTCCTCTTCCTCTGCTGCCTCCGCTGATCCCAGCCTCCTCTACGCCACCGTCAACAAACAGAGAAAATAACACAATTAAATGTTGTATAAAAAACTAAATGGCATGCTTTTTTGGATCATAGATTTAGAATTGTAAGCAGGGGCTTTTCTAGAAAGATACGGTAAGAGGGCAATACTGTGGCGCTGATCTATAAAAGATTAATCAATTCTCATGAGAACATGACGCCCGTATACAAGATGGCGTTGCGGACGTAAACAACAACGCTTCCTAAAAACAAAGCTGTATCTGCCATCTGACGCTCTACACAATATTCATATTTTGGGAGTAATTATAACATTTTTGTCGAACAGAAATATTGTTTTCTGGCATCAGTTTAAAATGTAACGGGGTAAAATCTGCATTTTGGTATGAGGGCGCTGACGTAAGTAAGAGGACGCAGAGCTCATGTTACCCAGTTTAGACAAAACCCTGGTAAGGGCAAAGCGAGCAGAGTTATAATAAGATTTATATTAATGATATTATGCTTTTTCTTTGCTTAATAACATCAAACAGAGAATACAGCAGCAGCTTTATGAAAACATGTGAGTCCCTCTAGAGGTGGGTTGTGAAAAAGGGGGCAGACATGTTGGAGATTTACTGTATTCTTAATATTTACAGCATGGGCATAACATGTAGTAGCTCAGCAGGTAATCAGAGGTGTGGTTGAGTTGTCACCTGGTTCATAAGTAATATTCATGTTGGATGCACATGAGCTCTTTTTGTAAATACAAATTATCCTGAGACATCTTAAAGGGACCAAAGATTCATAATTTCAGTGTGCAGAGCATGTCAATAACTTGCTAGTTTTATTAAGAATGTCAGAACAACATGCGGGTAAATGTGTTAAAAAGTACTTCATTAGAGTTCATTTATACAATAGTTACTGTTTCCATTACTCATGTCTCTGTTTTGTATCTGGTCAACATCATTGGTTTAGACCTGCAGAGCTCTGCTGCTGCTGCTGCCACAGCCACAACAAAACCTCCATCTTGGTTCTCAGAGGTGCAATTCACATAGAAAAACCACCAGGTCTCAGACCACTGTGTGTGCATTCAAACACCATTAGCAAGTCTGTTTTCTGATTAAAATGATATAAAAAAAACAATACTGCAAGTATTTATGAAAACGAATAATTCATAATAGTAATAATACACCAACAACTACCTAATATATAATGCTATATGTACATTCTCTGCAGGGTTTTGCTTTAAGCACGTACCTTATCTGCTCAGCATCAGAGGGTAAAACCACAGTTTAACCGGGTTAACAGCCAGGTTAAACTGTGGTTAACCACATCCTCACAGAAACACTGCTTCAGTTCTCAGAAGGGAAATAAAGAAACAGCCGGTTAGAGACTCTGACAGTCGAGAGCCAGAGAACGAGAGAGAAGCACGATGTCTGCATTCAGAAGGATCGTAATGTCTTCATTCCTGATGCTGCTGCTCCACTTTCCAGGTGAGGATGCAGAGAACACACACTGTTTACGACTGTTAATGAAAGGTAGTGAGGGCGTCTTTCAATTGAAATCGATGTATCCTTGGGCAAGATGCTTAACCCCAAGTCGCTCCCAATGGGGAACGGTGTGAGAATGATACCTTCTGTCGTGGAGTTTGAATCAGTTTCTACATTTAATATCCACTTTCCTCTATCGGGGTTGTGGGTGATGACGCGCCTCTCTTTGCTTCCAAACTAACTTTGCGGAGATCGTTGTAGCGTTGAATCACATCAGATTTATTCTTTGATCATGGCGACATACAAACATGAAGACAAACTTCCTCGCTTCAAAGTAACTAAAAGTTCTCCGTATCAGAAAAGAACAAAAATAACCATCCTGATACTTCCTGCCAGAGAGAACCAAAGACTCATCTCTGCAGTGTGCAGAACATGAAGCTCAGTCAGATAAAACATCTTGGAGGGTTGAGTGCAGCGTCCTATAGTCAGGTCAGAGAGACTGCTCTAAGAATGGCACATCCAGAAGAGTCTGCAGTGTGAAGAGCATGAAACTATTACAAAACAACATGAACATTACACCGGCTAATATATGTGTTTGAAAGTAAGCCATTAAAGTGACTTTCATTAGACGCTCGTTGAGTTTATTAATGTTTCTGATGGTTATGTGGTCGGCATCAGAGGGTAAAACCTGCAGAGCTCTGCTGCTGCTGTTAACCACATCTTCACAGAGACGCTTCTTCAGTTCTTAGAAAAAGTAAAAACAAATCTTCAGAGATACAAAGAGGAACCACCATGTTGTTAACATGCATTAAAACCATCTTTACATGCTCAACTTCCTCTGTTGTGTTGCTGATGAAGAAGGCCTACAGTTACCTTCACTCTGAATAACCAAAGACAAGAAATGAATCAAACATAAAAGTCTGATGTTAAAAAAGTGTCTTACTCTTTTTATTACACAACAAAAACAAGAGAGATTAAATGCTGATATCACACATTAACCCAACGGCCATCAGAGGAGAGATGGATGAGGAAGTGACTCTTCATTTATCACAGGAAGTAGATGCTGAGTTCTTGTTAAAGAAGCAGCAGGTTAGAGACTCTGACAGTCGAGAGCCAGAGACCGAGAGAGAAGCACGATGTCTGAATTCAGAAGGATCATAATGTCTTCATTCCTGATGCTGCTGCTCCACTTTACAGGTGAGGATGCAGAGAACACACTTTAAATAAAACAGCTTTAATATCACTAACGGTACTTTACTACGTACTGTTCCTTTAACTGAGAATGATGAGTTGTGTTTGTAATGTGGTGACTTTAGTGAACTCTTAGAAACCAAAACTCTCACAGAGATACATTTTCAAACGTCTGTATCTGCTGTATAATGATCATCATGTTAACTGTTAACACTACAGTTGTATTCATATTTATTTCCGTCTTTGTTTTTTAAACAGCTGCAGATGTGAAAGATTACTTCCGTATTGTCAGAGTTGGACATAAAGTCACTTTGCCTTTTGACAATGTGATACATGATCAGGATAAGTGTGAGAGTACAACCTGGCTCTTCAGTGGTTTAAGAAGTTCAGAAGCAGAGACGCTGTTTGAAGGCGGACAGATTCAGAACGATGCCAAAGCTAAACGAGACAGACTGAGAGTTATTAAAAACTGTTCTCTGGTTATAAAGAAGGTCACAGAGGAGGATGCTGGGCTTTACTTCTGCAGACAGTTCAGATCAGGAGAACAACAAGGTCCAGGCTCTCGTGTTGCTCTGTCTGTTGTTACCTGTGAGTATTCACATCATAATGTTTTCAAACTGTCTGGTTAAAACTATATACTGAAACATTACAATAATTGTGATTACAGTGATGAAGTTAATGTTACTCTTGGTGTCTTTCTCTCACAATATCTCCATCTTCAGTGACTGAACATCAGGTCAATGATGAGGTGACGTTACGCTGCTCTGTGTTGACATATGCATCGTGTACACACAAAGGGAAGTGGCTTTTTAAGGGTCGAGATGTGGTTAAAGATCACAGAGAGATAAAGGCATCACAGTCTTCCTGCTCTGCCTCTGTGACATTTCTGACTTCTCATTTTAGTAACACACCAAGGTTTGAGTTGTTTAAATGTGAAGTAAGAGATGGTAACAACGTGCAGACCTTCAGCCCTCAGTCCTCAGGTGAGAACATGATGATCTGTTTAAGTTACTTCTTACTGTTGATGAAAATTATGTACATCGTTGTTATTTTATCGAAGTTTCAGAATAAATCGTTTTTTAAGTTGTGCTCATCTGCTCATGTAAAAAAAAAACAGCAACGACCACACCAAAAACAACAACAACAGCTAACATCAACATAAAAACAGGTAAGGTTAACTTTATTTACTTTTAAAGTGTTTTGATAGTTACAGAACCTCAGCTGTTTCTCTTCAGTCCTCAGGTGAGAATATGATGAGCTGTTTAAAATCATTCATCCTGATGTGAATAATTACAAGAAATGTTTGTTTATCTGAGGTTTTATTATTCTGTTATGATGACGATTATGTTTTGTTGTACTGTACAATATATGTTTTTTCAAACAGGACAAGACAACAAACCAGCAAATCCAGGTAGAGACTGAACAAAACAGAGAGAGATAAAATACATGTTGTTGATTCAGATGTTAAAGACAAAGAGATAAAAACCTCTGAGTATATGTAACTCTTCTAACTTCTCTCTTCCAGGTCGGTGGTGGTGGATCATCGTTGTGATAGTGGGTGTTGCAGCACTCACAATAATCACTGTGGCTGTCATCAGACGGAAGAGGACTCAAGGTGAGGACATTCACACATTATACGTTACAAACAAGAAGCTTTTGATAAACCTGGATTTTAACCCAACTCTAATTTATTTGTATTCTTTTGAAGGGAATGAAACGCAGACGGATGACAACGTGGTGAGATAAAACATATATAAATAAAATGTTTTAAAACTGAAAAATGTAACATTTATAAAATAGTGATTTCAATAATTAAGCAGGGTTTAAGGTTTTTGTTATTTACTATTCATGTTGTTAACTTAAAACGTCATAAACAAATCCACAAACAGTTGACAAAAGAAAGTAGAGTTGTGCAACACCAAGTTCAAAAGATTATAACCAGAAAAGACAAAGTGAATAAAGGCAGTATTTCTTATTATACTGTGCTTGATAATTAGCAGCTATTGTGTTTTTTTTCAAGGTGACATTAATAATAACTAATCATTATACATTTTATTTGTGGAGGCTGACCCTGAAGATGGTGTTTCCTACGCCTCCATCAGCTACACCAGGAAGAGCAGCAGGAAAGCCAGGGTGAGCTGTCTCATTGATTTCACTGGTGATGTGACTTTATTGTCTATTCTACTCTAAATGTGAGCATAACTCACCGAACATCATGCTGTATTAAAGAAGACTTGGAAACTGAGATTGAGAACATAAAATCAGCAGAGAAATGTTTATTGAGGATATAAATCAAGTGAGACGTGGGGTCATTTTCTCACAGACTTCTATACAATCAAGACTTTCAGAACTCCTTTATGCATAATCACTTTTCTTCCCCTGCAGGCTCACCTTCATGATGATGATGATGAAGATGATGCAGTGACCTACAGCACTGTGAGAGCTCCCTCCTCTTCCTCTGCTGCCTCCGTTGATCCCAGCCTCCTCTACGCCACCGTCAACAAACCAAGAAAGAAACCGATGTAATGTTTAAATCAATAGCAAGATCGCTTGGATCAAAGATTTAGAGTTCATAAACTAATAAATGATGAGTTTCAGGAACATTAACACAACTACCAGATATTTAGAGTGAATAAGGCGGACAGTATTTCCCCTTTGATATGAAAACATAGTAAGTAGGAAAAGTGAGTGAAGATTTTTAAACATTGGCTTACATAAAAATGCATATTTTAAGATTTTAAGAAAAAGGGTTTTTGTGCAGATTCACTTTAAAGGGCTTTTGGGAGGGTTTCCCGTTCCTGTAGTGTGATATAGGTTTTAGTGCATGGAAACGTCTGCAAAGGCTAAAATCCCCCAAAATCTACTCCCGGAACATAGTGACATCACTCTGTAACACTCTTCTATTGGCTAAGGGGCGGGACATCTCTAAGCGGTTGTCCAATCACAACAGAGCCGGCCAGCTAACCAATCAGAGCAGACTGGGCTCTGGTTTCAGGCAGAGAGTGAAAAGAGGTGCTGCACCCCTCCTCTTCCTCTTCTGCCTCCGCTGATCCCAGCCTCCTCTACGCCACGTCAACAAAGCAACAAAATAATGCAGTTGAATGCTGTATTTTAAACTATGGCACAATTGTTATAACCATATTACAAAGTCAAAGCGAGCAGAGTTACAATAAGATTTATATTGACCATGTTTTTGCTTTTTTTGGCTTAATTGCATCAAAGTGAGAGTACAGCAAAACATGTGAGTCCCTCTAGAGGTGGATCGTGAAAAAGGGGCAGACATGTTGGAGATTTACTGTATTCTTAATACTTACAGTGTGGGCATAATGAAGGTTTTGTAAAGTGGATTCTGGCTTTTTTATTACAGTCTTTTCTTTAATATAATTCAATGGAGTATTGCTTTTTCTTCAGTACATTTGACTGTTTTGTATTTTACTAAATAAAGTGATCTATTAGCCTTACAAGAGTGCAGATGTATTTATTTGTATGGTTTTTCCTAACATGACATTCTCTAAACATCAGGTGTGTTCTTAAAGTACACAGTTTCACTAGTGACTCCACTGATCAACAACACTGCCTTTTGTTATCACTGCATATTCATAATTTGAACATGAAAGCATATTGATAACCACCTCCTGCTGTTATATATACTAACTGTGTGTGCTGTGCTCTGCATGTGTGACCATTAAAGAGGATTTCATCACTCCGATTCTATATCTATGTAATATATATATTCTATATGACTACATGTACATCACTCTGCATTGTTCTGCTTTTTGCTCTAATCTTATCTGGTCAGCATCAGATGGTAAAACCTCCAGAGCTCTGCTGCTGCTGTTAACCACATTCTCACAGAAACACTTCTTCAGTTCTCAGAAGAGAAATGAAGAAGCAGCAGGAGAGGACTCTTTAAAGTAGAGACACTACATTCTGATATACACCTGAACATCAGCAGGAGAGAACTCTTTAAAGTAGAGACACTAAATACTGATATACACCTGAACATCAGCAGCAGAGGACTCTTTAAAGTAGAGACACTAAATACTGATATACACCTGAACATCAGCAGGAGAGAACTCTTTAAAGTAGAGACACTACATACTGATATACACCTGAACATCAGCAGCAGAGGACTCTTTAAAGTAGAGACACTAAATACTGATATACACCTGAACATCAGCAGGAGATAACTCTTTAAAGTAGAGACACTAAATACTGATATACACCTGAACATCAGCAGGAGAGGACTCTTTAAAGTAGAGACACTACATACTGATATACACCTGAACATCAGCAGGAGAGGACTCTTTAAAGTAGAGACACTACATACTGATATACACCTGAACATCAGCAGGAGAGGACTTTTTAAAGTAGAGACACTACATATTGATATACACCTGAACATCAGCAAGAGAGGACTCTTTAAAGTAAAGACACTACATACTAATATACACCTGAACATCAGCAGGAGAGGACTCTTTAAAGTAGAGACACTACATACTGATATACACCTGAACATCAGCAGGAGAGGACTCTTTAAAGTAGAGACACTACATTCTGATATACACCTGAACATCAGCAGGAGAGGACTCTTTAAAGTAGAGACACTACATACTGATATACACCTAAACATCAGCAGGAGAGGACTCTTTAAAGTAGAGACACTACATACTGATATACACCTGAACATCAGCAGGAGAGGACTCTTTAAAGTAGAGACACTACATACTGGTATACACCTGAACATCAGCAGGAGAGGACTCTTTAAAGTAGAGACACTACATACTGGTGGTTGCACTCAAAGGGCCGGTTGTAACTTTCAATCTCAATCTTTCCTTATTCATATAGCACATTTAAAACAACCTCAGTTGACCAAAGTGCTGTACAGGGAACAAATATAAAATAACACAATAGGAGTAAAATAATAAAACAATAATACAAAATAAGATAAAAAGCACAATAACTAGAAACATATAAAAACACATACAAATGTTATGTTCAACTAGTATTAAAAGCCAGTTCAAAACTTTTAGACTATATATAAATACACATATAAATATATTATATATATAAAATAATGTATTATATTACATTATTGCCTCTGCATTGGATTATTATTGGACAGGGTAATAACTTCACCATTAACTACGTCTGAAAAGCAGAAGTCTAGGGCAAAAAATTGCAAATCTCTTCAGTGTGCACATCACAAAATGAAATGCATTGTGGGACATGTAGTTTGTGGACAACGGGCTTCTGTAAAGCGACATTCAACGTATAATAAACATATTATATTCTTTGCAAGCTCTTACGGGCCAGATAACATATAGTCGTGGGCCACATTTGGCCCCCGGGCCTTTAGTTTGACACCGCTACTCTAGGGTGACAAGTGCATGCTGTATTTTTCAATAAGATAAACAGATTCAGCAAAGATGGAAACAGTGGCAAATCTTTTCCACATACTGCATTTGGTGTTGAGCCACACAGGGCCTGGGAATGCAGTCATCTTAAAATAAACATCCAGATTGTGTCTCAATGTAAGTTTGGCTCGGTCCTCCACAGTGACTGGATATTAGCTCAAACTGATCCGTCTCATATCGGCCTGAATTATTCCTCTGTTGCCCAACTGAATACGTGTCTGAGGTTTTTATATATGGTGTCATACCTTCAGAACTACTGGTGTTAACCTCATTTTCATCTAAACACTTCTCCTTCAGTTCTCAGTAGAAAAACACTGGAGGTGAAATGAGGAACCAGAAAACATCTTCCCACGTTCAACTTCCCCTCTTCTGTCGATTATCTGCTGTTATCATCGGTACTGAGTTCTTGTTAAAGAAGCAGCCGGTGAGAGACTCTGACAGTCGAGAGCCAGAGACCGAGAGAGAAGCACGATGTCTGAATTCAGAAGGATCATGATGTCTTCATTCCTGATGCTGCTGCTCCACTTTACAGGTGAGGATGCAGAGAACACACACTGTTCACGACTGTTAATGAAAGGTAGTGAGGCCGTCTTGCAATTGAAATCGATGTATCCTTGGGCAAGATGCTTAACCCCAAGTCTCTCCCAATGGGGAACGGTGTGTGGATGATACCTTCTGTCGTGGAGTTTGAATCAGTTTCTACATTTAATATCCACTTTCCTCTATCGGGGTTGTGGGTGATGACGCGCCTCTCTTTGCTTCCAAACTAACTTTTTGGAGATCGTTGTGGCGTTGAATCACATCAGGTTTATTCATTGATCAAGGCGACATACAAACATGAAGACAAACTTCCTCACTTCAAAGTAACTAAAAGTTCTCCGTATCAAAAAAGAACAAAAAGAACAAAAAGAACACGGTCAAAAGACTCTACCGCTTCCTGTTTAATCACACCCTCAGCTGTGAACTAATGTCATGCCATATATAGAAATAAAGACATGCACGTCATACCTGACAGCGCACATCTGACAGCAAATAAGTGAGACTTAAACTAACATCTTTTAAAGCGTAGTGTGACTCACAAAAATAGATAGTTAAGAGTTTCCTCTAAAGCCTTTTAGTAAGCGCTTTATAAATACAGTCCATTTAACATTTACCAATTACATTAAATAAAACAGCTTTAATATCACTAACGGTACTTTACTACGTACTGTTCCTTTAACTGAGAATGATGAGTTGTGTTTGTAACGTGGTGACTTTAGTGAACTCTTGGTCACTAAAACCCACATAGCAATACTCTTTAAAGTGATCGTCACACTCACTATGAACACTTCAGTTAGTTATGTGGATCTGTAATTAACTCTGGTTTGAATGTGTCGTTAAATGATTCATTAAACAGATCAACCAGAACTCTAACTCTTTACCTTTTTATATAATACATCATTATTCTGTCAGCATTTATGACATCTATATTTCTTTCTGCTTTTTTCCCCCAACAGCTGCATATGTGAAAGGTTACTTCCCCTTTGTCAGAGCTGGAGATGAAGTCACTTTGCCTTTTGACAATGTGATAGATGATCAGGATGAGTGTGAGAGTACTACATGGCTCTTCAGTGATTCAAGAGGTTCAGCAGCAGTGTGGCTGTTTGAATACGGACGGATTAAAGAAGACAAAGCTAAATCAGACAGACTGAGAGTTACAGAGAAATGTTCTCTGGTTATAAAGAAGGTCACAGAGGAGGATGTTGGTAGTTACACCTGCAGACAGTACAATAAAGTAAAGCAACAACAAGGTCAAGACTCTCATGTTTATCTGTCTGTTGTTACCAGTGAGTATTTACATCATAATGTTTTCAAACTGTCTCTAAACTGAAACATTCCAATAATGATGATGATTACAGTGATGAAGTACATTTAAATGTTGTTACATATTGTGGTTGTCTTTTCTCTCACAATATCTCCATCTTGTTTATTTTATGGAATTTTAAAATTGAATAGTTTGTTAAGTTTTGTTCATCTGTTTAGTTGAGGACAAAAAACCAACAACAAAAACAACAGCAACAACAACAACAACAACAAAAACAACACCAACAACAAAAACAACAACAACAACAACTAAAAACAACATAAACTCAGGTAAGGTGTAAAGTGTTTGATGGTCACAGAACCTCAGCTGTTTCTCTTCAGTCCTCAGGTGAGAACATGATGAGCTGTTTAAAATCATTCATCCTGATGCGTCACATCTTTAAGTCGTGATGTGAGATGTTTACATTTGTTTTTATAACTGAACAGTATGTTGTTATTTTATTCATTAAGGTGAGGATACAGGGAAGGTGACTACAATATCACCAACATGGACAACAGTGAACATGAGAGCAGCCGGAGAGACGACCAACACTACATCTGAAAACAATAAAACAGAACAAGAGGACAACAATAAAGGTAGAGAGAGAACAGAACAGATACATTTAAATTTAGAAAAGACATGTTGTTGATTCAGAGTTTAAAGACAAAGAGATCAAAACCTCTGAGTCTATGTAACTCTTCTAACTTCTCTCTTCCAGGTTGGTGGTGGTGGATCATCGTTGTGATAGTGGGTGTTGCAGCACTCACAATAATCACTGTGGCTGTCATCAGACGGAAGAGGACTCAAGGTGAGGACATTCACACATTATACTTTACAAACAACAAGCTTTTGATGAACATGTTTTTTAACCCAAGTCTAATTTATTTTGTATTCTTTTGAAGGGAATGAAACGCAGACGGATGACAACGTGGTGAGATAAAACATATATAAATAAAATGTTTTAAAACTGAAAAATGTAATATTTATAAAATAATGATTTCATAAATGTAGCAGGGTTTAAGGTTTTTGTTATTCACTTTTCATGTTGTGGTTAACCTAAAACTTCATAAAAAAATCAACAAACAGTTATGACTGTAGGTAGTCGAAGAAGATGGACCTCCATGCACATGCTTCTTATGGTACATACAAATACACACAGTAATGTTTTGCACATGCATTGAGAGGTCCAGAGTGGAGCGGCAGCCAGTCTAGCCAGGAGCAGTTGGGGGTTAGGTGGCTTGCTCAAGGGCACCTCGGCAGTGGCCCAGGAGGTGAACAGATACCAGTCCACACTCCGTATTTTTTTGGTCCGACCGGGATGTGAACCGGCGGCCTTTCGGCCCAAAGTCCAAGTCCACTGCCGCCCGGGTGTTGTACTGTACGTTGCGTCAAAAGACAAAGTGAATTAAAGGCAGTATTTCTTATTGTACTGTGCTTCTTATTTAGCAGCTCTTGTGTTATAGGTGACATTCATAATAACTACTCATAATACATTTTATTTGTGTAGGCTGACCCTGAAGATGGTGTTTCCTACGCCTCCATCAGCTCAAGGTTCAAGGTTCTTTATTGTCAATCTGACATAGCTACAGAGTAATTATGCAGTTGAAAATCTTATGTCACAGGCTTCTCCAACAATGCAACATAATAACATAACATAATAACAATAAGAGCATGAGCAATACAAAATAATAATAGTTATAAAAATGAAATAAAGTTATGATGTGGAATAGTGCAGTATGAGTCTATATACAAGTTATTGGAATGATATATATATATTAGGTATTAGATACATACTACTGAGTAGCAGTTGAATGTTTGAAGTTGTTTCAACAGTTCAATTTTTTAACAGTCTCACTGCCCGCGGGAAGAAACTGTCTCCGAATCTTCTTGTCCTTGCCAGGATGCTGCGGTAACGTCTGCCAGACGGCAACAGAAAGAACAGTTTGTGGCTGGGGTGATGGGGGTCTTTGATAATCCGTAGTGATTTCTTCCTGAGCCGCTGGGAGTAAAGGTCCTCCATGGATGGCAGCTCCGTCCTGGTGATGTGCTGTGCAGTTTTCACCACCCTCTGTAAAGCCTTACGATCGAGGTCGGTGCAGCTGCCGTACCAGGCCGTCATGCTGCCAGTGAGGATACTCTCTATCGTGCACCTGTAGAAGTTGCAGAGTATCCTGGAATCCATTTTGAACCTCCTCAACCTGCGGAGGAAGAAGAGCCGCTGTCGAGCTTTCTTGGTGATGGTGGTGGTGTGAAGAGACCATGTCAGGTCCTCAGTGATGTGGACCCCAAGGAACCTGAAGCTTTTGACTCTCTCCACCGTAGTCCCATTGATGGCGATGGGGGCGTGTCCCTCTCCCTGCTGCTTCCTGTAATCCACAATCAGCTCCTTTGTTTTGCTGACGTTGAGATGGAGGTTGTTATCCTGGCACCAAGATGTCAGGTTTTCGACCTCCTCTCTGTACGCCGTCTCGTCATCGTCTGTGATCTGGCCGATGACGGTCGTGTCATCAGCAAACTTCACGATGGTGTTGGAGCTGTGTGTGGCCACGCAGTCGTGGGTGAACAGGGAGTAGAGGAGAGGGCTGAGCACGCAGCCTTGAGGGGCACCGGTGTTGAGAATCAGGGTGGAGGATGTGATATTTCCCACCCGCACTGCCTGGGGTCTGCCCGTCAGGAAGTTCAGGATCCAGTCACAGAGGGCGCTGTTGAGCCCGAGGTCTCTGAGCTTGATGGCCAGCTTGGAGGGCACAATGGTGTTGAATGCTGAACCAGGAAGAGCAGCAGGAAAGCCAGGGTGAGCTGTCTCATTGATTACACTGGTGATGTGACTTTATTGTCTATTCTACTCTGAATGTGACCGTAACTCACCGAACATCGTGCTGTATTAAAGAAGACTTGGAAACTGAGATTGAGAACAAAATATCTGCAGGAAAATGTTTATTGAGGATATAAATCAAGTGAGACGTAGGGTCATTTTCTCACAGACTTCTATACAATCAAGACTTTCAGAACTCCTTTATGCATAATCACTTTTCTTCCCCTGCAGGCTCACCTTCATGATGATGATGAAGAAGATGATGCAGTGACCTACAGCACTGTGAGAGCTCCCTCCTCTTCCTCTGCTGCCTCTGCTGATCCCAGCCTCCTCTACGCCACCGTCAACTAACCAAGAAAGAAACCGATGTAATGTTTAAAACAATAGCATGATCACTTGGATCAAAGATTTAGAGTTTAAGGGCACAGCTAGCAGAGTTTAATCAGATTTATATTAACCTTGTTTTTGCTTTTTTGGCTTAAATGCATCAAAGTGAGAGTACAGCAGCAGCTTTATGAAAACATGTGAGTCCCTCTAGAGGTGGATTGTGAAAAAGGTTCAGACATGTTGGAGATTTACTGTATTCTTAATACTTAGAGCATGGGCAAAATGTTTTTTTTTAATTAATTCTTGCTTGGTTTTATTAACCGTTGTTTAGTTATATCATTTAATGGAATATTGCATTTTCTTTAGTATATTTGATTGTGTTGTGTTTTACCAAATGAAGTTACCTAATAGCCTTACCAGACTGCAGATGTATTTCCTTGTAACACCTTTTCAGTTAAATATGTTTTGCTTTGTTTGGAGTTTTGTGTTGGAAATAAAAAACGTTCTCAGGTGAAAATAAACTCTTTTAAAGGTGTTCTTGTTCAGCTGTCTTTAGTTTCAAACACTTTTATTTTCTCACCAGTAGGAAGCAGCAGAGATCCTCCCAACATGTGGAGGTCTCTACTGTCCTCTCACACTGAGAAGCAGATCTCTGCAGACACAAACACAAACACTCTCTCATGTGTGAATAATGTGAGTATAGGTTGAGTTAGTGAACTGTGTGCTTCTGAAAGTGCTGCAGCAGAGGGAGCTTGTGCAATGACAGTTTACTTTGCTGTAAAACAAAGCATCTTTTTTGCATGATATACTTTCCAAGAAGCAAGCACATTTAGAAAATAAAATCATTATTAACTTATGCAATCGAAACTTTAGGAAAGAAAAGTTAAACAAATGTTCAAATTAATAGATTTGCATTCAAATATCTCAATGTGAAAAATAGTCCTGCTTTTTTTGTGGTGCAAATATCTCGTTTTTTGGTGGATTGTCATGTTTTCAGATTAGATTTAGAATGGGAAGTGAAAATGGAAGTAGTGAAAGCATGGAGAAATGAAAGAGGGAAGGAGAACATGGAGACATGGAGTGAAAATGTAGTGATATTTCATGTTTGTCTGCAAATAAACTAAGCCCCAGTGCACCAAAAGATGAGTTTCAGGAACATTAACGGTATGTCTACACAGCAGCGTTAAAAAAATCTTGAAACGCTTCTGCCCATTCACTTTGAATGGGGTGACGTCACTTTCCCTCACTTTTCGCCGAAATGGATTGTGGGCAGGCGAGCGGAGATTTTCAGGATTTTGAGGATTCAAAGTTGAACAATGTTCAACTTTTGAGGCTGAGGTGGAAGCGTCAGCCAATCAAATCCCGTGTACGCAAATCTGACAGTTCAAGCTCTAGCCAATCAAACGGCGTGTATGCTGGGAGAGACATACCGCAGGTCATTTCCTCATATTCCAAAAAATGGAGGAGAAATTAGCGGTAGGGAATCAATCACCCGGTGCTTTATGACCAGACCTACCGGGATATAAACCGGAGGAGCCAGGCATGGAGGGAGGTGGCAGAGACAGTGGTAGGTTTTCGCCTGTTTTGGGGAGTTTATATCCAGTTTACTTCGGGCTTTTTTGCTTCGTATGTCGCGGGCGGGAGATTCATGTGATTGGTTGTTCGCAAAAAATCCCCAAGCTTCAGATACGCCCACCTCCAAGATTTTTTTAACGCTGCTGTGTAGACGTACCGTTAGAGTGAATGAGGCGGACAGTATTTCCCCTTTGATATGAAAACATAGTAAGTAGGAAAAGAGAGTGACGTTTTTTTTTTTAAAACAAAGCTATTTCCTCCCCTTATTTGATACCGGATACATTGGCTTACATAAAAATGCATATTTAAAGATTTTAGAAAATAGGTTTTTGTGCAGATTCACTTTAAAGTGTGTCTTGGGGGGTTTCCCTTTCCTGTTGTGTGTTATATTGGTTTTAGTGCATGTTAACGGTCTACAAAGGCTAAAATCCCCGAAAATGTACTTCCGGAACAAACACTCTAAAAAGTCATTCAGGAGACCTTTTACCACCACTTAATTAAATGCATGGTTGCAAGATACAAATTTGAATTAATTGATTTAGATAAACATTTGAATAACATTAATTTATAAGTTGTGTTGACGTAATAATGTTGGTAATTACATCAATTTAATATTGTGTGTAATTTAAACTCGGATTTCTGCGTTAATTGACTTAAAACTAAATTCAAGTTGTAGTAAGTAATGCAATTGGCTTGATAACTTAATTTTTCTACACCTTGAGTTCAGAATTTCAAGTCCACTCCCACTTAACATGCCTGGACAAGTTCCGACAGTTAAGACAAATATAAATACTATACAAAGGACATTGTTAAGTTGAGTGTCATCTTTTGTCATTCAAATACAGTAGATAGCCTTGTAGTTGCACTGTATAGACAAATTGTTGTTTGACCAAAATGAGCAGCCTTTGAACTGTGGATAGTTCTGTGAGAGGGTACAAAGTAGTAGAGGCAGAGTTTATTTTCTGTGTTTCTTGCTCATTTCATGCAGTGTTTTATATCTATAAAAACAGGGAAGACCTGTTATGGTATGGTATTTGTATTGTACAAATACTTTGGTTACTATTGTGATTTTTTGTGTGGCTTCTGCTCTTCACTTAACCAGTTCAAATATTGTATGGAACCTGCAAAAAAGATGAGAAGGAAACTTGCACGGTTGTGATTATATCGCGATGACAAAATCTGTCGCATTTAAACACTAGGCAAAGTACTCAAAGCCACCTCTGTGTGTCTTCAGGACCACATTGCCATGATGACACACATGCAGACTCACAAGGTGAAAACAATACCAGCGTCGCTTTAGCAGCTGGTAATAATGGCTCTGAATTAGGGTGACAGTTTAAAAAGTATACAATTACCTAATTCATTATCTCTTATGCGCCAACCTATTATTTAATTTGCTTCAAAATGACACAAAAGAGTTCGAGGCAGGCCTTGATGGACAACTTGTGATGAATATCGCCATCATCAGTGACCGGTCCAACCTAGGATCTGACCATAAGATGGCAACCATCGTGGTCGAGGGAAACAAATGAATGAGCAAGCATTCTGCGTTAAATGTGTTCATACTGTTTAAAATAAAGTCGGCAGTGTAAACATCTTTGTTACATCTTTTGTCAAATGTATGTGTGTGATCTGCAGATTGGTGGCCATTGAACGTTTGTTACTGTAGTTTTACAAAAAGTTTACAGATTTTACATATTTGGCACTGGTTTTAAATATGCAAAGGCCTCTAACTTCGATGTGATGGCAGAATGTATTTGCTATATCCCCCTTTCATTTCCCATGTTTTTTTTTTTTCTCAAGATTTAAATGAAGCTCAACGCAAGTTCTTTCAGGAAGACTGGGTGTATATACATTCACTCCGCAGCTGCATATAATCAGCTCATCACGGGCGTTCTCTTTAACCTATTACATTTCACCTCATTCTCCAGCAGCCAATCACCGTGCTGCAGCCAAACTTTAAAATGGTTCTCCTCTCTCCTGCAGTCAGCTGTGATTTCAGGTTTTCATGCTGCCACCCGCCTCCTCCCCATCCGCCTCCTTTCATCCTATCCAGTGCCAGGAGAGCTAATCCAAGACCTCATCACATCCCCTCTTCATCCCATCTCCTCATCAAATCCAGATCTTCAGCATCATCACCAGTGTCTAGACCCCAGGGGGGGGGGTTCCCTATATGCTCACGGCTGCATTTCCCCCTTTAGATATACGATTTCAGGATCGGGGTCTAATCGCCAAAGACTTAACATTTGTCAATAAATGTTCTTTAAACAAAATGAAGTCTCTCCTGATTGAAATATCATGTGTTGAAATAAACAACTGCAGTTCAAAATAGAAGTGAAATACTTAAAAAAAATGTGTGGAATCAATTAATTTCTTAAAAGGCAAAAACATGAAAAAGCTAAAAAAAAAAACGATTGAATCAAATATATTTGGAGCAACTTCATTTATAAATGGTTGTCAACTTAAAAACTTGTGTTCACAATGATGGTAATTAAGTACATACAACTTGAAATTCCTTTTAAATCATGAGGTAAAACTAGTTGGAACAACTTAATCTTTTGAGTAATCAACTTCAAAACTTGTGTTTATGCTACCAATTATTAAGTAAGTTTTAATTAAAAACACCTCTGATTGTTGAGGAAAAGCCTTCTCCCCTAACTCAAATAAGTTTGTTGGTTTAACACAATTTCATTAGAAGTTGTCATAACTCAATAAACATTGATGCAAACTTTTGCGTTGATTTTCTTTGTTGAGGCAAAGCATTTGTTTTTAGAGTGTAGTGACATCACTATGTAACACTCTTCAATTGGCTAAGGGGCGGGACATCTCTAAGTGGTTGACCAATCACAACAAAGCCGGTCAGCTAACCAATCAGAGCAGACTGCACTCTGGTATCAGACAGAGGGTGAAAAGAGGTGCTGCAGCACAGACAGTATGAGAAAAATAAAGAGCTTTTTGAACATTAAAGCATGGAGACATGTCCCAGTAGAGACACTACATACTGATATACACCTGAACATCAGCAGGAGAGGACTCTTTAAAGTAGAGACACTACATACTGATATACACCTGAACATCAGCAGGAGAGGACTCTTTAAAGTAGAGACACTACATACTGATATACACCTGAACATCAGCAGGAGAGGACTCTTTAAAGTAGAGACACTACATACTGATATACACCTGAACATCAGCAGGAGAGGACTCTTTAAAGTAGAGACACTACATACTGATATACACCTGAACATCAGCAGGAGAGGACTCTTTAAAGTAGAGACACTACATACTGATATACACCTGAAAATGAGCAGGAGAGGACTCTTTAAAGTAGAGACACTACATACTGATATACACCTGAACATCAGCAGGAGAGGACTCTTTAAAGTAGAGACACTACATACTGATATACACCTGAACATCAGCAGGAGAGGACTCTTAAGTAGAGACACTACATACTGATATACACCTGAAAATGAGCAGGAGAGGACTCTTTAAAGTAGAGACACTACATACTGATATACACCTGAACATCAGCAGGAGAGGACTCTTTAAAGTAGAGACACTACATACTGATATACACCTGAACATCAGCAGGAGAGGACTCTTTAAAGTAGAGACACTACATACTGATATACACCTGAACATCAGCAGGAGAAGACTCTTTAAAGTAGAGACACTACATACTGATATACACCTGAACATCAGCAGGAGAGGACTCTTTAAAGTAGAGACACTACATACTGATATACACCTGAACATCAGCAGGAGAGGACTCTTTAAAGTAGAGACACTACATACTGATATACACCTGAACATCAGCAGGAGAAGACTCTTTAAAGTAGAGACACTACATACTGATATACACCTGAACATCAGCAGGAGAAGACTCTTTAAAGTAGAGACACTACATACTGATATACACCTGAACATCAGCAGGAGAAGACTCTTTAAAGTAGAGACACTACATACTGATATACACCTGAACATCAGCAGGAGAAGACTCTTTAAAGTAGAGACACTACATACTGATATACACCTGAACATCAGCAGGAGAGGACTCTTTAAAGTAGAGACACTACATACTGATATACACCTGAACATCAGCAGGAGAGGACTCTTTAAAGTAGAGATACTACATACTGATATACACCTGAACATCAGCAGGAGAGGACTCTTTAAAGTAGAGACACTACATACTGATATACACCTGAACATCAGCAGGAGAGGACTCTTTAAAGTAGAGATACTACATACTGATATACACCTGAACATCAGCAGGAGAGGACTCTTTAAAGTAGAGACACTACATACTGATATACACCTGAACATCAGCAGGAGAGGACTATTTAAAGTAGAGACACTACATACTGATATACACCTGAACATCAGCAGGAGAAGACTCTTTAAAGTAGAGACACTACATACTGATATACACCTGAACATCAGCAAGGGAGGACTCTTTAAAGTAGAGACACTACATGCTGATATACATCTGAACATCAGCAGGAGAAGACTCTTTAAAGTAGAGACACTACATACTGATATACACCTGAACATCAGCAGGAGAAGACTCTTTAAAGTAGAGACACTACATACTGATATACACCTGAACATCAGCAGGGGAGGACTCTTTAAAGTAGAGACACTACATACTGATATACACCTGAACATCAGCAGGGGAGGACTCTTTAAAGTAGATACACTACATACTGATATACACCTGAACATCAGCAGGAGAAGACTCTTTAAAGTAGAGACACTACATACTGATATACACCTGAACATCAGCAGGAGAAGACTCTTTAAAGTAGAGACACTACATACTGATATACACCTGAACATCAGCAGGAGAGGACTCTTTAAAGTAGAGACACTACATACTGATATACACCTGAACATCAGCAGGAGAAGACTCTTTAAAGTAGAGACACTACATACTGATATACACCTGAACATCAGCAGGAGAAGACTCTTTAAAGTAGAGACACTACATACTGATATACACCTGAACATCAGCAGGAGAGGACTCTTTAAAGTAGAGACACTACATACTGATATACACCTGAACATCAGCAGGAGAGGACTCTTTAAAGTAGAGATACTACATACTGATATACACCTGAACATCAGCAGGAGAGGACTCTTTAAAGTAGAGACACTACATACTGATATACACCTGAACATCAGCAGGAGAGGACTCTTTAAAGTGGAGACACTACATACTGATATACACCTGAACATCAGCAGGAGAGGACTCTTTAAAGTAGAGACACTACATACTGATATACACCTGAACATCAGCAGGAGAGGACTCTTTAAAGTAGAGACACTACATACTGATATACACCTGAACATCAGCAGGAGAAGACTCTTTAAAGTAGAGACACTACATACTGATATACACCTGAAAATGAGCTCTACAGGTGGATCGTGAAAAAGGGGCAGACATGTTGGAGATTTACTTTATTCTTAATACTTACATTATATGTAATGTCTTGTCTTTTATCTGGACCCTGAGATGATGGTTTTTCCTAATATGACTTTCTCTAAACATCAGATGTGTTCTTAAAGTACACAGTTTCACTAGTGACTCCACTGATCAACAACACTGTCTTTTGTTGTCACTGCATATTCATTTATATCTTAAGGTATATTGATATCCACCCCTGCTGGTTATTTTTAATGTTTTATATATATATATTCATTACTTTATGTGCATCACTCTGCATTGCTATGCTTTTTGCTCTTACCTTATCTGGTCAGCATCAGAGGGTAAAACCTCCAGAGCTCTGCTGCTGCTGTTAACCACATTCTCACAGAAACACTTCTCCTTCAGTTCTCAGAAGAGAAATACTGTAAAGAAGCAGCCGGTGAGAGACTCTGACAGTCGAGAGCCAGAGACCGAGAGAGAAGCACGATGTCTTCATTCCTGATGCTGCTGCTCCACTTTACAGGTGAGGATGCAGAAAACACACTTTAAATAAAACAGCTTTAATATCACTAACGGTACTTTACTACGTACTGTTCCTTTAACTGAGAATGATGAGTTGTGTTTGTAACGTGGTGACTTTAGTGAACTCTCAAAGAGATATATTTTAAACTTCTGTATCTAATGTATAATGATCATCATTCTGATTATAAACACTACAGTTGTATTCATGTTTATTTCCGGCTTTGTTTTTTTTAACAGCTGCAGATGTGAAATATTACTCCCGCATTGTCAGAGTTGGAGATGAAGTCACTTTGCCTTTTGAAAATGTGATAGATGATCAGGATAAGTGTGAGTATACTACCTGGTACTTCAGTGAATCAACATTAGTGCCGCTGTTTGAATACGGACAGATTCAGAACAATACCAAAGCTAAACGAGACAGACTGAGAGTTGAAAAAAACTGTTCTCTGGTTATAAAGAAGGTCACAGAGGAGGATGCTGGTTATTACACCTGCAGACAGTTCAGATCAGGAGAACAACAAGGTCCAGACTCTCGTGTTTATCTGTCTGTTGTTACCAGTGAGTATTTACATCATAATGTTTTCAAACTTTCGTGTTAAAACAATATACTGAAACATTATAATAATAATAATAATAATGATTACAGTGATGATCTTAATGTTACTCTTGTTGTCTTTCTCTCACAATATCTCCATCTTCAGTGACTGAACATCCGGACAATGATGAGGTGACGTTAAACTGCTCTGTGACGAGACGTGGAGAGTGTATACACACAGTGAAGTGGCTGCTTCAGGGTCGAGATGTGGATAAAGATCACAGAGAGATAAAGACATCACAGTCTCTCTGCTCTGCCTCTGTGACATTTCTGACTTCTCATTTTAGTTACACACCAAGGTCTGAGTTGTTTACTTGTGAAGTAACTGATGGTGCCAACGTGCAGACCTTCAGCCCTCAGTCCTCAGGTGAGAACATGATGATCTGTTTAAAATCATTCATCCTGATTCGTCACATCTTTATGTCGTGATGTGAGATGCTTATATTTGTTTTTATAACTGTACAGCATTTTGTTATTTTATTCATTAAGGTGAAGATGCAGGGAAGGTGACTGCAGTGTCAACAACATGGACAACAGTGAGAATCAGCACAACCAAAACTGCATCTGTAGACGACAAAAATCAAGGTAGTTACAGTAAGAAAAGACACTTAGCCGAAATACATGTTGTTGATTCAGAGTTTAAAGACAAAGAGATAGAAACCTCTGAGTATATGTAACTCTTGTAACTTCTCTCTTCCAGGTCGGTGGTGGTGGATCATCGTTGTGATCGTGGGTGTTGCAGCACTCACAATAATCACTGTGGCTGTCATCAGACGGAAGAGGACTCAAGGTGAGGACATTCACACATTATACTTTACAAACAACAAGCTTTTGATAAACATGGATTTTAACCCAAGTCTCATTTATTTGTTATTCCTTTTAGGGACTGAAACGCAGACGGATGACAACGTGGTGAGTTTAATCATTGATAAATAAAATCATTTAAAACTGAACAATTGAATATTTATAAAATAGTGATTTCAATAATGTAGCAGGGTTTAAGGTTTTTGTTATTCACTTTTCATGTTGTGGTTAACCTAAAACTTCATCAATCAACAAACAGTTATGACTGTAGACGAAGAAGATGGACCTCCATGCACATGCTTCTTATATGGTACATCCAAATACACACAGTAATGTTTTGCACATGCATTGAGAGGTCCAGAGTGGAGAGGCAGCCAGTCTAGCCAGGAGCAGTTGGGGGTTAGGTGGCTTGCTCAAGGGCACCTCGGCAGTGGCCCAGGAGGTGAACAGATACCAGTCCACACTCCGTATTTTCTTGGTCCGACCGGGATGTGAACCGGCGGCCTTTCGGCCCAAAGTCCAAGTCCCCCACTGCCGCCCGGGTGTTGTACTGTACGTTGCGTCAAAAGACAAAGTGAATTAAAGGCAGTATTTCTTATTGTACTGTGCTTCTTATTTAGCAGCTATTGTGTTATAGGTGACATTAATAATAACTTGTAATAATGCATTTTATTTGTGTAGGCTGACCCTGAAGACGGTGTTTCCTACGCCTCCATCAGCTACACCAGGAAGAGCAGCAGGAAAGCCAGGGTGAGCTGTCTCATTGATTTCACTGGTGATGTGACTTTATCGTCTATTCTACTCTAAATGTGAGCATAACTCACCGAACATCATACTGTATTAAAGAAGACTTGAAAACTGAGATTGAGAACATAAAATCTGCAGAGAAATGTTTATTGAGGATATAAATCAAGTGAGACGTAGGGTCATTTTCTCACAGACTTCTGTACAATCAAGACTTTCAGAACTCCTTTATGCATAATCACTTCTCTTCCCCTGCAGGCTCACCTTCATGATGATGATGAAGATGCAGTGACCTACAGCACTGTGGGAGCTCCCTCCTCTTCCTCTGCTGCCTCCGCTGATCCCAGCCTCCTCTACGCCACCGTCAACAAAGCAAGAAAGAAACCGATGTAATGTTTAAATCAATAGCATGATCTCTTCGATCAAAGATTCAGAGTTTAAGGGCACAGCTAGCAGAGTTTAATCAGATTTATATTAACCTTGTTTTTGCTTTTTTGGCTTAAATGCATCAAAGTGAGAGTACAGCAGCAGCTTTATGAAAACATGTGAGTCCCTCTAGAGGTGGATTGTGAAAAAGGTTCAGACATGTTGGAGATTTACTGTATTCTTAATACTTAGAGCATGGGCTAAATGATTTTTAAAAAATTAATTCTTGCTTGGTTTAATTAACCGTTGTTTAGTTATATCATTTAATGGAGTATTGCATTTTCTTTAGTATATTTGATTGTGTTGTATTTTACCTAATGAAGTTACCTAATAGCCTTACCAGACTGCAGATGTATTTCCATGTAACACCTTTAATGTGTTTTGCTTTGTTGAGTTTTTTGTGTTGGAAATAAAAACGTTCTCAGGTGAAAATAAACTCTTTTAAAGGAGTTCTTGTTCAGCTGTCTTTAGTTTCAAACACTTATATTTTCTCACCAGTAGGAAGCAGCAGAGATCCTCCCAACATGTGGAGGTCACCACTGTCCTCTCACACTGAGAAGCAGATCTCTGCAGACACAAACACAAACACTCTCTCATGTGTGAATAATGTGAGTATAGGTTGAGTTAGTGAACTGTGTGCTTCTGAAAGTGCTGCAGCAGAGGGAGCTTGTGCAATGAGAGTTTACTTTACTGAAAAACAAAGCATAGTTTTTGCACAATATACTTTCCAAGAAGCAAGCACATTTAGAAAATCAAATCATTATTAAATTATGCAATCAAAACTTTAGGAAAGAAGTTAAACAAATGTTAAAATTAATAGATTTGCATTCAAATATCTTACTGTGAAAAATAGTCCTGCTTTTTTTTGTGGTGCAAATATCTCGTTTTTTGGTGGACTGTCATGTTTTCAGATTAGAGTTAGAATGGGAAGTGAAAATGGAAGTAGTGAAAGCATGGAGAAATGAAAGAGGGAAGGAGAAAATATATTACAATTACAAAAAGTGAAGAGATGGAGGGAACATTTAGTGATATTTCATGTTTGTCTGCAAATAAACTAAGCCCCAGTGCACCAAAAGATGAGTTTCAGGAAAATGAACACAGCTACCAGATATTTAGAGTGAATAAGGCGGACAGTATTTCACCTTTGATATGAAAACATAGTAAGTAGGAAAAGAGAGTGAAGCATTTTTAAAAACAATGCTCTTTTCTCCCCTTATCTGTTACCAGAGAACATACATTGGCTTACATAAAAATGCATATTTAAAGATTTTAAGAAAAAGGGTTTTTGGGCAAATTCACTTTAAAGGGGCTTTTGGGAGGGTTTCCCGTTCCTGTAGTGTTATATAGGTTTTAGTGCATGTTAACGGTCTGCAAAGGCTAAAATCCCCCAAAATGTACCTCTGGAACATCACTATTGCGGCTTTCACACCAGCGCTTTTCCCTTTCTAGCTCCTAGCTAGAGCTTTTCTGGTTCAGCTCCGGTTTCCCTTTTCAGCTCCCGCTCTGTTCACACCGCCCAGCTGCCGCTGCTGCGTCATGACGTCACAGTTTACATCGCTGATTTTCTTCCCCAACGGAGCTCACAACAACAACAACGGGGAGGGACTGCGTCGGGTCGATGATCGTGTTGCTTTTAATCATACGAAGCCAGATTAAATTAAATAACGACTTCTCCAACCTTATACTTTTCTCCAGAGCGCCGTGGTTCATTGTTTATTAATGTGTTTCAGCGGCATTTACCGACCGCTGCAGTGCTGGCTGCTCTTCCACGGGAGTTTATTCTCCCGTTAGCGCCGGGTTAGCTCACACGGCTCTAAAGTATTCACTGTCTGACTGTCACACAAGCAGCTGATACATATCCCCAGTTCCCCTTAAGTGAATGTGTGTCAGTCTGAATTGACGCTGTTTGGCATCACAACGCTGTTATGAAAGTTTCTCTGGTATAACATGGGTGATGTTAGCATAGCAACCGAAGCTAAACTGACTACTTGCTAAGCCGTTTTCTACAGGCAGATTTTACCGGTGTATTTTTCATTATGATTCTACTTGTGATAGTCGGACATGACAACCTGTGCAGCCCATGTATTGATTCCATCCGATAGCTGCTATAATAACAAACAAAACGTCTGCCTGCTCTCCACAATGATCAATAACAGCGAACGGATGGTCAAAGTAAGGTACAAATAAACAGAATCACACGAAGCCTGGTTAGTGTTGCCTGACTTTATAAAGTGTGTTTTTTTTATAAGTGTGTGGTTGCCTTCTAGTCACTTTGCTCAGCGCTACTGCTTGTAGGCAGGCATGACGAGACTCTTCAGTCGACCCATGTTCAGGGGAGGTGGGTTTAGTTTCCTGCACGCCTCAACGTAAGAGAGACGTAAGCGACGCCGCGTCATAGCTCCGAAGCTCTTGCCTCTAGACCGACAATTTTTTGGAGCTGGAAGTGAACCGCATTCCGGAGCTATGACGCGGCGCCGAGCCGGAGCTGGAAAAGCGCCGGTGTGAAAGGGGCATATAACACTCTTCTATTGGCTAAGGGGCGGGACATCTCTAAGCGGTTGACCAATCACAACAGAGCCGGCCAGCTAGCCAATCAGAGCAGACTGGGCTCTGGTTTCAGACAGAGGGTGAAAAGAGGTACTGCAGCACAGGCAGTGTGAGAAAATAAAGAGCTTTTTGAACATTAAAGCATGGAGACATGTCCCAGTAGAGACACTACATACTGATATACACCTGAACATCAGCAGGAGAGGACACTTTAAAGTAGAGACACTACATACTGATATACACCTGAACATCAGCATGAGAGGACTCTTTAAAGTAGAGACATTACATACTGATATACACCTGAACATCAGCAGGAGAGGACTCTTTAAAGTAGAGACATTACATACTGGTGGTTGCACTCAAAGGGCCGGTTGTAACTTTCAATCTCAATCTTTCTTTCTTTATATTGCACATTTAAAACAACCTCAGTTGACCAAAGTGCTGTACGGGGAACAAATATAAAATAACACAATAAGAGTAAAATAATAAAACCATAATACAAAATAAGATAAAAAGCACAATAACTAGAAACATATAAAAACACATACAAATGTTATGTTCAACTAGTATTAAAAGCCAGTTCAAAACTTTAAGACTATATATAAATACATATATAAATATATTATATATATAAAATAATTTATTATATTACATAATTGCCTCTGCATTGGATTATTATTGGATAGGGTAATAACTTCATCATTAAATACGTCTGAAAAGCAGAAGTCTAGGGCAAAAAATTGCAAGTCTCTTCAGTGTGCACATCACAAAATGAAATGCATTGTGGGACATGTAGTTTATGGACAATGTGCTTCTGTAAAGCAGCATTCAACGTATAATAAACATATTATATTCTTTGCAAGCTCTTACGGGCCAGATAACATATATTCGTGGGCCGCATTTGTATGGAGGCTGAACATGACTTAAGTATAAATAAATAAATAAATAAATGTGTAAATAAATGTATGAAGAAATACAGGAATAAATAAATAAATACATAAATAAATAAATAAATAAATACAGGAATAAATAAATGACGAAATAAATACAGAAATAAATAAATGTTGAAATAAATACACAAATAAAAGAATAAATAAATAAATAAATAAATAAAAGCATAAATAAATATGGAAATAAATACACCAATGTATAAATAAATAAAACAGAACACACATTATTATATATCTTTCATATATTTCTACATTTACTCGACATACATTTATTTATTTATTTATGTGTCGTATGCTAATGAGGTGGGCGGTCCTAACCTCAGTCTGAAGCAGGATTGGTTACAGGAGTGTGTGATCATTTCTGGCAGAGGGCTATACTAACGCCTGGCTAACCGCGCTGATTCGAATGCAGGAGCTTTACTGTTTAGCACTTATCTTTATACATCCATGGTTTATCCACAGTTGTAAGGATTATTTATGGGTATTGGTTTAAGAGCCATTGGAGATCATTAGCGGACCATTTAGAGAACGGAGAACCAAAAGACTATGTCCTCTCTTTGTCCAGTTTCGTGTGGAACGATGTATAGAGGACTTGGCTCAGCTCGACATGGATGTGGATGTTAACCCAGCAGTGTTTGAGAGTCTTCAAGAGATTGCCCGCCAACTTGAAATCCTCTCGGAAACAGAGGAGGCGACCCTTGGGCGTCCATCTTACATGTTGCCCCCAAACGTTATTGAAGCACATCTTCGTTGGGGGCACACCGCTGGGGACATCGCGAACGGGTGTGCGAAAGAACAATTATTAAAGAAGCCATTATTAGCGAGTTGCCGTGGGTGTACACTGTACACAGAATGAACAGATGTGACTTGCCACAAATCTCTTGCTTCTGCCTGGCTCCAACAATTTGCGAATCCTGCTTCAGACTGAGGTTAGGACCGCCCACCTCATTAGCATACGGACACATAAATAAATAAATGTATGTCGCGTAAATGTAGAAATATATGAAAGATATATAATAACGTGTGTTCTGTTTTATTTTCGACTTTTATTACTTACTGCCAGCCCACGGAGCTGTAATAATGGATATATTGCACATGTTTGCTGTAATTCATAATTTGTAAAATATTATACTACATGGGCTGTATGATTAAATCTTGTACCGTAAATGTTGTATTAAATAAAGTTAATATTACCGACGTAGATTAACGTCCCTGTAGCTTCTTATTGCACTAAGAAGCTTATTGCACTGTATATATATATACATATATATATATATATATATATATATATATATATATACATACAGTGCAATAATTCTTTCATGCTAAATGAAGCTCTGTTGCTTGGATATCACTAAATCCTGTTACAGCGTAATATAAAAGTACATAACGATTGATGTGTAAATTAGCATAATTACTAGCTAACCGCTAGCTGCTAACTGCCGCCTCGTTAATATCAAATCTATCATAATAACAAACCATTACCATGCTGTCATGAACGTGCAGTGCTGTTACGTGTACGCAAATTGACGTGCTTGATGTGAACGAGCATTTTGGGGGGCATGGTTAAAGTTGCGCATGCGCTATGAGCGCACATACGGGTACTTCTCAGGCATGCCGGGTAATCTGTGACGTTTCGCTCTCTCAAAAGTTGGGCCATTTTATCATCATGCGCGAATGAGCAACTCTCATAGGAATGAATGAGGCCCCGCCTCCCACGCTGTATCCAGTTCTTATTATACATCCATGGGCCCAACCAGTGGAGAAATACCCGGAAGTGCCCGGCAAATGGTCTACCGCGCCTATTGGTCGGTTTTTATTGTCAAAATGAGATGTTTTTAATTTATTTTTTAATCATCACACTTGATTTCGCCGATTTTCTTGTTGCCCTAGCTGGTCGACACCTCTTTTAGCAGAAACAAAGGCTACATTAATGTATTCGATGTTAATCCATGTGTGTGGAGGTGAGGATGTGGAATTAACGGACGTGACGTTGTGTGATTGCGTTGCCAGGCAACGCAATTTACAAACTCTTCAACTACAACCCTAATTATATTTTAAAACATTTTAGAAGGCCTCACGAAATACTTTAACCTGTTCCACTCTGAGCCTGTTTTTCAGGTCTCAGGCTCGAAAATGACATTCCCAGAACAAATGACCATATCTTCCCTTCTAAAAGGGTTAAATTAATAATCTTTGTTCTCAAAGTAATGATAAACCTGTGAGTTGGATGTAGAAGTGTCAGAATCAATATAAATGTTTTTTATTTTAAAGAAAATTCAGATTTTACATAGTAAAAAACTGTAAATTATAGTGTCCGTCCAAAAATTATTTTTTACAGATAGTGAAAACTACCCTTGGATGATGGGTTAGTAGACTAAAAGCTTTAGGAATCCAAAGTACAACATATAATAAGTACCCTGTATCAAGATTGATGCAAAACAAGTGAAATTTGACCTTTTTAGAGAGATTTAGCCAAAAACCCCCACTTTTGGGGTCATTTGGGTGGATTTGACCTATCTCTGGCCCCCCTTGGTCGATTTGGTTGGTTGACACACCCTTGTGACCGTTAGAGCCAATAGAATCGAAGGAGGAGACTCACATACACACACATTGTAAAGAAAAAATGTGGCCGCTTCGCGTGTGGAAAACGAAACCAAGGTGGAGGAATGTCTCCTTCTGGAGTTTGGAAACTAAAACGCAGTTGTATTGCTTATGGATTATCAGAAATAATTTCAAAGAAGGCACAGACACATAGGATGAACCTATGGATTAACTGCAGCATCGTTTTTTTATCGTTTTAATGCCATTGAAGACCACTTTTGACCAAGGTAAGCCATATTTACGTTTTTTAGCTACTTAGCTCCACATGTGATGATGTACGCTTTCGTTTATAGCGTCGCGAATGTTTATCACTGAGTGTTGAGGAGGGCACCGTTAGATTCAGTGTCTCCAGGACACCAAAAAAGAGTGTTTGGTTGTGCATCTAGGATAAGTAATAAGGGAGTTCTGAGTGAGTTTAAGTGCCTTTGTAGGTTCCGTTTTTCGCTCGAGGCTAATTCAGAGGCTGAGTGTTAGCATTGTGGGTTTTTTTTGAAAAAAAAAATTAAAAAGATCAGTTAGCTGAGTTTCTTCCCGTTACATGGATATAACACATTCATAGTTTTATTCAATATTAAGATTCCTTAGACGTTGTTTCCTGCAAATGACGCGTTTATCCGCCCGGTACCGGGGGGATGGTGTGAAACAGGTTGTAAATTAAAATGTAAATGTGAAGGGGTGTGTGTAATGTGGTGATTGACATTATTCACCCACGGATCTATGGGTTGGGGGTATTGTTCCGCACGGACATTTTAGTTAAACGGACTTACTGTTGATGTGAAATCCGAAAAAAAATACGTTATACACCATAACGGTGCACAGCTGATATAAAAGGACTTGTCGTTTTTAAAGATATTACTGATTTTCTTTGAATATCAGAATGTAAATACTGAGTTGAGAGAATAGTCAGGGGATTTGGGTGATGGGAGACACATCTATGGATTCAGAATTTCAATAGCTTACTGTTAAATGACGGATATACCTTTTATTTCTGTGATGTTTTACAAATCAGATATTATAAGTAAAACATGTGAAATAATATAGCAATATCCTGTACAATTATGTGAAAACATGAATAAAACTACACATCTTCAGATGTTATACATACACAAGTGTCCTACACTAATAATACAAAGTTATTATGGCTGTGTGCACCGCCTAGTGGTTAAAGCACGTTATTGAATTAGTTGTGTATATGATATGTCAATGATCCTTAGAAAATCTTGAAATCTTGAAAGGGATATGCAAAATAGCCATTATATACAGTCTTTAATTAACTATTAGTAGAGAATAACGAGTAATGAATATACTTTATAGGGATCTGCAGATAAATGTTTAGTTTTCTCAAGCAGCAACTATCAAATATCTCTCCTGATTGTTGGCACTTGACAATCACCTTTCCCTGAATTTTACTCAGGTGTAACTAAAGCCTGATTTAAGGGTTGTTTATATTTCACATCATTAATCAGAATCTGCAAAGTAACTAACATAAATGTAGTGGAGTAAAAATACCAGGTTAACCTCTGAATTGTAGTGGAGTAGAATTGCTGTTTTGTTTAGTAATGGATATTGAATATGGAATAAAGGTTTTGACAAGACCTGGTGTAACAATAATCAAAAAGGACATTAAAAGAGCTCCAGATGTCAATGATCTAAACAAAACAGCACACCTGAAATGTATTAAATACTTTATTAAGGGCAGTGAATTAGTTTTTTCTGTATGTTTTTCAAATCAGTGTTATACAGTAAGTGTCATAGACAGTGTTACATTGATATTATTATCCTTAAAATATATATAAAACAAAACCATTTATCTTTTTTTTTGGATGGTTTACTAATGACAGTTAATTCTGTTTCTGCTATTGATGGTTTCATTTTTGTGAAAAATAATAAAATAATAAAATTCAATAACGTGCTTTAACCACTAGATGTGCCTTTCTATCAGCTGTGCACCGTTATGGTGTAAATACAGCCTATCTACCAATTGGATCAAATATAAAAGTCAGCCGAATTAGTATTGATACTGCAAGGAGACGTATTGTGTGAAAATAAATGTAAGATGTGGTTTAATTGCTGATATATTTATGATCCACGTCACGTTTTCAGTTTTGGCGGCAGTGCTTCCTGTTTGTCCAGAAGTCTTCTCATCAGGGCTCTATAAATACAGAACTACGGCAGATATGTCATATTTAATGCAGCCAAACCGTGTATTACAATGCCGTTATGTGATGACCGCCAAAGAGAAAAGCAAGCAAACTCGGAATAAAGTATTATTTTATTTTTTTAAAATGTTTTCGGATTTCACATCAACAGGAGTCCGGTTAACTAAAATGTCCGTGCAGAACAATACCCCCAACCCATAGATCCGTGGGTGAATAATGTCAATCACCACATTACACACATTCCTTCACATTTACATTTTAATTTACATTAAAGTATTTCGTGAGGCTGTCTAAAATGTTTTTAAATATAATTAGGGTTGTAGTTGAAGAGTTTGTAAATTGCGTTGCCTGGCAATGCAATCGCACAACGTCACGTCCGTTAATTCCACATCCTCACCTCCACACACATGGATTAACATCGATTTAATACATTAATGTAGCCTTTGTTTCTGCTAAAAGAGGTGTCGACCAGCTAGGGCAACAAGAAAATCGGCAAAATCGAGTGTGACGATTAAAAAATAAATTAAAAACATCTAATTTGGACAATAAAAACCGACCAATAGGCGCGGTTGACCATTTGCTAGGCACTTCCGGGTATTTCTCCACTGGTTGGGCCATGTTAACAATACCGTGTAACTGTCACGTTTGAAGGGACGAAACCGTGACATATTCACGTCTCCCAGCATGGTAGATCGTCACATGTTCACGTCTTGCCGTGATACCGGGTTGATTTATTTCCATATTTATTTATGCATTTATTTATTTATTTATTATTTTATTTATTTATTTGTGTATTTATTTCAACATTTATTTATTTCTGTATTTATTTCGTCATTTATTTATTCCTGTATTTATTTATTCCTGTATTTATTTATTTATTTACATATTTATTTATTTATTCCTGTATTTCTTCATACATTTATTTACACATTTATTTATTTATTTATTTATACTTAAGTCATGTTCCGTCCTCCATACATTTGGCCCCCGGGCCTTTAGTTTGACACCGCTGCTCTAGGGTGACAAGTGCATGCTGTATTTTTCAATAAGATAAACAGATTCATCAAAGATGGAAACAGTGGCAAATCGTTTCCACATACTGCACTTGATGTTGAGCCACACAGGGCCTGGAAATGCTGTAATCTTAAAATAAACATCCAGATTGTGTCTCAATGTAAGTTTGGCTCGGTCATCCACAGTGACTGTTTGTCAGTTCAAACTGATCCGTCTCATATCGGCCTGAATTATTCCTCTGTTGCCCTACTGAATATGTGCCTGAGGTTTTCTATATGGTGTCATACCTTCAGAGCTGCTGGTGTTAACCTCATTTTCATCAAACACTTCTCGTTCAGTTCTCAGAAGAAAAACACTGGAGGTGAAATGAGGAACCAGAAAACATCTTCCCACGTTCAACTTCCCCTCTTCTGTCGCTTATCTGCTGTTACCATCGGTACTGAGTTCTTGTTAAAGAAGCAGCCGATGAGAGACTCTGACAGTCGAGAGCCAGAGACCGAGAGAGAAGCACGATGTCTGAATTCAGAAGGATCATGATGTCTTCATTCCTGATGCTGCTGCTCCACTTTACAGGTGAGGATGCAGAGAACACACACTGTTTACGACTGTTAATGAAAGCTAGTGAGGGCGTCTTTCAATTGAAATCGATGTATCCTTGGGCAAGATGCTTAACCCCAAGTCGCTCCCAATGGGGAACGGTGTGTGAATGATACCTTCTGTCGTGGAGTTTGAATCAGTTTCTACATTTAATATCCACTTTACTCTATCGGGGTTGTGGGTGATGACGCGCCTCTCTTTGCTTCCTAACTAACTTTGCAGAGATCGTTGTAGTGTTGAATCACATCAGATTTATTCTTTGATCAAGGCGACATACAAACATGCAGACAAACTTCCTCGCTTCAAAGTAACTAAAAGTTCTCCCTATCAAAAAAGAACTAAAAGAACAAAAAGAACAAAAAGAACACGGTCAAAAGACTCTACCGCTTCCTGTCTAATCACACCCTCAGCTGTGTACTAATGTCATGCCATAGATAGACATATAGACATGAACGTCATATCCGACAGCAAATAAGTGAGACTTAAACTAACATATTTCAAAGCGTAGTGTGATTCACAAAAATAGATAGTTAAGAGATTCCTCTAAAGCCTTTTAGTAATAAGACAAACATTCAATCCATAATGATGAAAGGGAAATGGCTCTAACCCCTTCATTGAGCAAGGGGCACATTGCTCTGTATGAATTGGGTGTGAATGGGTGACTTGTTGTATGTAAAGCGCTTTGAGGGGGGAAAGACTGGATAAAGCGCTTTATAAATACAGTCCATTTAACATTTACCAATTACATTAAATAAAACAGCTTTAATATCACTAATGGTACTTTACTACGTACTGTTCCTTTAACTGAGAATGATGAGTTGTGTTTGTAACGTGGTGACTTTAGTGAACTCTTGGTCACTAAAACCCACATAGCAATATTCTTTAAAGTGATTGTCACACTCACTATGAACACTTACGTTAGTTATGTGGATCTGTAATTAACTCCGGTTTGAATGTGTCGTTAAATGATTCATTAAACTGATCAACCAGAACTCTAACTCTTTACCTTTTTATATAATACATCATTATTCTGTCAGCATTTATGACGTCTATATTTCTTTCTGCTTTTTCCCCCAACAGCTGCAGATGTGAAACAATACTCCCGTATTGTCAGAGTTGGAGATGAAGTCACTTTGCCTTTTGACAATGTGATACATGATCAGGATACGTGTGAGTATACTACCTGGTACTTCAGTGATTCAAGAAGCTCAGTGACGCTGTTTGAATACGGACGGATTCACAAAGAAGCCAAAGCTAAATCAGACAGACTGAGAGTTACAGAGAAATGTTCTCTGGTTATAAAGAAGGTCACAGAGGAGGATGTTGGTTTTTACTCCTGCAGACAGTTCAGATCAGGAGAACGACAAGGTCAAGACTCTCATGTTTATCTGTCTGTTGTTACCAGTGAGTATTTACATCATAATGTTTTCAAACTGTCTCTAAACTGAAACATTCCAATAATGATGATGATTACAGTGATGAAGTACATTTAAATGTTGTTACATATTGTGGTTGTCTTTTCTCTCACAATATCTCCATCTTCAGTGACTGAACATCAGGACAATGATGAGGTGACGTTACACTGCTCTGTGAAGAGATATGGAGGGTGTAGACACCCAGTGAAGTGGCTGCTTCAGGGTCAAGACGTGGATAAAGATCACAGAGATATAAAGACATCACAGTCTCTCTGCTCTGCCTCTGTGACATTTCTGACTTCTCTTTTTAGTAACACACCAAGGTCTGAGTTGTTTACTTGTGAAGTAACTGATGAGAACACAAGAGAAGAACATCAGTTTCCTTTCAGCCCTCAGTCCTCAGGTGAGAATATGATAATCTGTTTAAAATCATTCATCCTGATGCGTCACATCTTTATGTCGTGATGTGAGATGTTTACATTTGTTTTTATAACTGAACAGCATTTTGTTATTTTATTCATTAAGGTGAGGATGCAGGGAAGGGGACTGCAGTGTCAACAACATGGACAACAGTGAAGATGAGAGCAGCCGGAGAGACGACCAACACTACATCTGAAAACAATCAAACAGAACAAGAAGACAACAATAAAGGTAGAGTCTGAACAGAACAGATCCATTTAAAGTTAAGAAAGACATGTTGTTGATTCAGAGTTTAAAGACAAAGAGATAGAAACCTCTGAGTATATGTAACTCTTGTAACTTCTCTCTTCCAGGTTGGTGGTGGTGGATCATCGTTGTGATAGTGGGTGTTGCAGCACTCACAATAATCACTGTGGCTGTCATCAGACGGAAGAGGACTCAAGGTGAGGACATTCACACATTATACTTTACAAACTAGAAGCTTTGATGAACTTGGATTTTAACCCAAGTCTAATTTATTTTGTATTCTTTTGAAGGGAATGAAACGCAGACGGATGACAACGTGGTGAGATAAAACATAAATAAAATGTTTTAAAACTGAAAAATGTAATATTTATAAAATAATGATTTCACAAATGTAGCAGGGTTTAAGGTTTTTGTTATTCACTTTTCATGTTGTGGTTAACCTAAAACTTCATCAATCAACAAACAGTTATGACTGTAGACGAAGAAGATGGACCTCCATGCACATGCTTCTTATGGTACATACAAATACACACAGTAATGTTTTGCACATGCATTGAGAGGTACAGAGTGGAGAGGCAGCCAGTCTAGCCAGGAGCAGTTAGGTGGCTTGCTCAAGGGCACCTCGGCAGTGGCCCAGGAGGTGAACAGATACCAGTCCACACTCCGTATTTTTTTGGTCCGACCGGGATGTGAACCGGCGGCCTTTCGGCCCAAAGTCCAAGTCCCCCACTGCCGCCCGGGTGTTGTACGTTGCGTCAAAAGACAAAGTGAATTAAAGGCAGTATATTGTGCTTCTTACTTAGCAGCTATTGTGTTATAGGTGACATTAATAATAACTAATCATTATACATTTTATTTGTGCAGACTGATCCTGAAGATGGTGTTCCATACGCCTCCATCAGCTACACCAGGAAGAGCAGCAGGAAAGCCAGGGTGAGCTGTCTCATTGATTACACTGGTGATGTGACTTTATCGTCTATTCTACTCTAAATGTGAGCATAACTCACCGAACATCATGCTGTATTAAAGAAGACTTGGAAACTGAGATTGAGAACATAAAATCTGCAGGAAAATGTTTATTGAGGATATAAATCAAGTGAGACGTAGGGTCATTTTCTCACAGACTTCTATACAATCAAGACTTTCAGAACTCCTTTATGCATAATTACTTTTCTTCCCCTGCAGGCTCACCTTCATGATGATGATGATGAAGATGATACAGTGACCTACAGCACTGTGGGAGCTCCCTCCTCTTCCTCTGCTGCCTCCGCTGATCCCAGCCTCCTCTACGCCACCGTCAACTAACCAAGAAAGAAACCGATGTAATGTTTAAATCAATAGCATGATCACTTGGATCAAAGATTTAGAGTTTAAGGGCACAGCTAGCAGAGTTTAATCAGATTTATATTAACCTTGTTTTTGCTTTTTTGGCTTAAATGCATCAAAGTGAGAGTACAGCAGCAGCCTTATGAAAACATGTGAGTCCCTCTAGAGGTGGATTGTGAAAAAGGTTCAGACATGTTGGAGATTTACTGTATTCTGAATAATTAGAGCATGGGCAACATGATTTAAAAAAAATTAATTCTTGCTTGGTTTAATGAACCGTTGTTTAGTTATATCATTTAATGAAGTATTGCATTTTCTTTAGTATATTTGATTGTGTTGTATTTTACCAAATGAAGTTACCTAATAGCCTTACCAGACTGCAGATGTATTTCCTTGTAACACCTTTTCAGTTAAATATGTTTAGCTTTGTTTGGAGTTCTCAGGTGAAAATAAACTCTTTTAAAGGAGTTCTTGTTCAGCTGTCTTTAGTTTCAAACACTTGTATTTTCTCACCAGTAGGAAGCAGCAGAGATCCTCCCAACATGTGGAGGTCACTACTGTCCTCTCACACTGAGAAGCAGATCTCTGCAGACACAAACACAAACACTCTCTCATGTGTGAATAATGTGAGTATAGGTTGAGTTAGTGAACTGTGTGCTTCTGAAAGTGCTGCAGCAGAGGGAGCTTGTGCAATGACAGTTTACTTTACTGTAAAACAAAGCATCTTTTTAGCACGATTTACTTTCCAAGAAGCAAGCACATTTAGAAAATCTAATCATTATCAAATTAAGTCATGCAATCTTGACTTTAGGAAAGAAAAGTTAAACAAATGTTAAAATGTATATATTTGCATTCAATTATTTTACTGTGAGAAATAGTCCTGCTTTTCTTTTGGGTTTCAATATCTACATTTTGGGGAATTGTCATGTTTTCAGATTAGATTTAGAATGGGAAGTGAAAACACAACATACTGATATACACCTGAACATCAGCAGGAGACGACTCTTTAAAGTAGAGACACTACATACTGATATACACCTGAACATCAGCAGGAGAGGACTCTTTAAAGTAGAGACACAACATACTGATATACACCTGAACATCAGCAGGAGAGGACTCTTTAAAGTAGAGACACTACATACTGATATACACCTGAACATCAGCAGGAGAGGACTCTTTAAAGTAGAGACACTACATCCTGATATACACCTGAACATCAACAGGAGAGGACTCTTTAAAGTAGAGACACTACATCCTGATATACACCTGAACATCAGCAGGAGACGACTCTTTAAAGTAGAGACACTACATACTGATATACACCTGAACATCAGCAGGAGAGGACTCTTTAAAGTAGAGACACTACATCCTGATATACACCTGAACATCAGCCGGAGAGGACTCTTTAAAGTAGAGACACTACATCCTGATATACACCTGAACATCAGCCGGAGAGGACTCTTTAAAGTAGAGACACTACATACTGATATACACCTGAACATCAGCAGGAGAGGACTCTTTAAAGTAGAGACACTACATACTGATATACACCTGAACATTAGCAGGAGAGGACTCTTTAAAGTAGAGACACTACATACTGATATACACCTGAACATCAGCAGGAGAGGACTCTTTAAAGTAGAGACACTACCTACTGATATACACCTGAACATCAGCAGGAGAGGACTCTTTAAAGTAGAGATACTACATACTGATATACACCTGAACATCAGCAGGAGAGGACTCTTTAAAGTAGAGATACTACATACTGATATACACCTGAACATCAGCAGGAGAGGACTCTTTAAAGTAGAGATACTACATACTGATATACACCTGAACATCAGCAGGAGAGGACTCTTTAAAGTAGAGATACTACACAGGAAATATTGGTGAGTATTTTTTCCAGAGTAATTACTATTTTGCTCTGAAATAGTGATATTTAATCATTTTGGAGTGTATTTATTACTCATAGCTTCTAGAGTGCGATCAAAAATGCAGAGTCAATTCTATTGGAGTTAAACCATGACCACGCTGTAACGGAGCTGATCTCTGGGGCCATTGATCTCGGTCTCCGTTACGGATTATATAGCTTAATTATTGGCGAAGTATATTCATTTGTTCCACGCTAAAACATTGCACAGGAAGCATGTGATTATATGTCATTTATGCATATATTTGTCACGATCTGTCTATGTTTTAGTTTGTCTGTCTCTGTTTCCTGTTTTAGTTTGAAAAGTGTTCCCCCTCCCGTCTTGTCTGTTGCTGGTGATTGCGTTCACCTGGTGCCCTGTGTTTCTCCTCCCTCCTCACCTGTGTCTTGTTGGTTTGATTAGTCCTGTGTGTATTTAGGTTCTGTTTTCCTGTTAGTGTGTGTGAGGTCCTGGTGGCTGTGTTCACGTGAGACAGTCATATTGAGGCTGTGTATCCTGTACCACAAAGAGGAATAAATGCCCACACCGGGTTGTATTTGAACTCTCTGCCTCTGCCTCCTTGCTTGGTCGGGCCGCTCAATGGCCAGCTTCACACACGCCCACTCATGTTCCTTAAGCACTTTGGTTTATTGACCTTTTTTATTGTAAAGATCATTATGGTTCATTTATTCTATTCTGAGTAAAATTACCTTCTAGTTGGAGTGAAATGACGTTCGATTGGGAGTAAAATTACCTTCTATTATGAGTAAAATGGCAGTAGAGTTGTTTTTAATATACAATACATAGAGTAAATAACCATTAAGCAGAGTCAAATCTAAGCACATAATAGAGTAAAATGAACTCTAAAAATACAACTCTGAACAAAGAGTACATTTTACTCTATATAGGTTGGGACCAAATGTTATATTTTTAGAGTAAAATTTTCTTCAATTTGAGTCAATTTTACTCAGAGAAATTTACTGTGTACATACTGATATACACCTGAACATCAGCAGGAGAGGACTCTTTAAAGTAGAGATACTACATACTGATATACACCTGAACATCAGCAGGAGAGGACTCTTTAAAGTAGAGATACTACATACTGATATACACCTGAACATCAGCAGGAGAGGACTCTTTAAAGTAGAGATACTACATACTGATATACACCTGAACATCAGCAGGAGAGGACTCTTTAAAGTAGAGACACTACATACTGATATACACCTGAACATCAGCAGGAGAGGACTCTTTAAAGTAGAGACACTAGATACTGATATACACCTGAACATCAGCAGGAGAGGATTCTTTAAAGTAGAGACACTACATACTGATATACACCTGAACATCAGCAGGAGAGGACTCTTTAAAGTAGAGATACTACATACTGATATACACCTGAACATCAGCAGGAGAGGACTCTTTAAAGTAGAGATACTACATACTTATACACCTGAAAATGAGCAGAATATCGCCCCTTTAACATCATGTGAAACTGATGTTTATCATTCAACAATGCTTTGGGGGTCAAATAAAACATATTAGTCTTTAAATGTCAAAGAAATAACTCATAAATGATGATTTTACTATCATTTGACAGTAGCATGTGTTTGCTTGTCTAATAGAAGTCGCCTCCTTGCAAACTTTCGTTGCCAGAAATCTTGAATCTACACACACACACACACACACACACACACACACACACACACACACACACACACACACACACACACACACACACACACACACACACACACACACACACACACACATGTATAGACAGTAATTAGTGTGTGTGTTGAGCATGAAGAAATTGCAGTTTTGGGGGGGGGTGGTTGTTAATGCAGTTCAGGACAAAGGGCTGTCAAACACACTGATTCTGCTCCACTGGCTCCGCTACAGTACATGACACATTCCTGACGGATTAACGTGGGGAAATTAATTAAAACATAAATATGGATTAGCTGGTAAAGATTGCTAACTGTGTGAATCACCACCAGCTCTCTGAAGCCCAGTCTTACATCACACAATACAAGTTTAGACGTCATTTAAAGATGCCTAATGTGACTAAAGTGAGAAATGCAAGTGAATATCTATTTTTTTCTATGATAAAAGTGGATGTCTTTGGGCTGAGATATGGCAAGCACCCCCCCTTTATCTCCTCGAGCTGACACCCATGAATGAGAGTAATTACATCATTAGGCATACAAATGGGCTAATTTAGCTATTCTCCCTCTTGTCTAAAGAGTAAGACCATGACCCAATTTTAAATAACCAATCACAGCTCAGAGAAAACCTCCTGAGCCAATGGGCCGTGTGGCGCCACCCACCTGCATGAATACTAATAAGAAGCAGAATGATAACTCAAGGGGGGAAACTTGCAAAAGCCGCAGCTTGCTCAGTTTGTTCTGGAGATTACTTTGCCTCTTAAACCTTCACCATGGTCGACGCCTTCTGTGCAACTTGGAAACTGGTCGACAGTGAGAACTTTGATGAGTACATGAAAGCTCTCGGTGAGTAACAGGCTTTTTCTATCTGTTTTACATATAATATCTTAGTTTCATGCAGAAAAATCCCCTTTTTATGACATTTCTTTGCAGTTTTATCAGATTTAATTTTGTGGAAAAATGCTTTAAAATCTATTTCCTCCCCCTCAGGTGTTGGCTTTGCCACCCGTCAGGTTGGAAATGTCACCAAGCCGACTGTGATCATCAGCCAGGAGGGAGACAAGGTGGTGGTCCGCACCCAGAGCACCTTCAAAAACACAGAGATCTCCTTCAAGCTGGGAGAGGAGTTCGACGAGACCACCGCCGATGACAGGAACTGCAAAGTAAGACGACAGAATCATAAAAGGACCAAAAAACATGAAAAGAATAAGGCCAAAAACTCTTGATAGATACAAATGCAAGTACTTTTTATGCAGAAAAACCCTTAAAAGCAATTTTTTATGTTTTTTTATGAAGTATCCAGTGTCTTAACTGGACTTGTATTCTTTAAATCTTACTTATAAAAGTCACAAATGTCATTTAACCCAAGATTTCAATCCTGCAACATTGTTTTTCCAATAAAACTGTATTTTTTGCCCAATATTCAGAGGGTTAGGGGTATCTCCTTTGTTTCTCATTGTGGGTCATTAATAGGATTTGTATTTAATCCATGATTTAATTCGTGCATCTGTTCTGGCGCATTGTGTACAGTAGATACTTTAGATAGTATTTTCTCCACATGCATTCAGGGGGTCAAACAGGGTATTCCTTTGTTTGTATTTGTGGGTCAATGACAGGAATTGACATGTTGAGTTGTCCGGAAATAGACCAACAGTTGGCAGCTTCTTCATATGCTAATCTCAAAACACTCCTCTCTTTTGTCCTTCAGTCCACCGTGACCATGGACGGAGACAAGCTGGTCCACGTCCAGAAGTGGGACGGCAAAGAGACCAAGTTCGTCAGAGAAATCAAGGACGGAAAGCTGGTCATGGTGAGAGAGAAACACCCGGATCAACACCAGTTATTTGATTTGATTTATATAGAGTGAATATACTTAGCAATAGAAAGAGACATTCAAACCACAACAGATTTATTGTGTAGCCACGTGGATTTTCTATATTTCAATCCCACCATCTGGGTATTGTGCATTATTGATATATAACACCAAGAGAAAAGGCATTGTTTTAAATTGAGTTTTATATTATTTTTAAAGAATTCATTATGTTTTAAGGGCTTATAGGAGTCCATGTTGTATAAGCTATGACACTAAAACAGTAGCATTTGCCTCTCAGCTTTTCTGTTTTTGTAAAAATCAAATCTTAACGTGATAATGAATACAGAATATTTTATATTAATGGGAAATAAATGACGCTGTTTTCAGGTTATGATGGCAAGGCATAGGGTGTTTGACTTTACTTAGGGATCATTAGTGCATGACAAACTCTTTTTGGGCTCGTTACAAAAATAAAAGGCATTCAAATATCAAATGGAGCAACATAATATGTTAAAAAACAGTTTTTTGTCTTTCTGAAGCTCCAGAAATACAGCAAATTAAAAAAAATTGTTCTGTTTTTGTTGACCAAGCATGCAATTCTTTCAAATTAGCATGCATACATCAAACAAAGTCCCAACCTGTTGCCTTCCAGAAGCATCCTCACCCCTGATACTTCACTTAAGCTGTTAAAAAACGACATTTTCTACAATAAAATGATGGATTTGTGAACATTAAATGACCTCTCATGGTAACTGTTGTCTCTCTCTCTGCAGAATCTGACCTTCGAAGACATCCACGCGAGCCGCAGCTACGAGAAGGCATAAGTGCTCCGACTGCCAACATCCCAACCGGCCACAAAGTGTTGATTTTATAATTATTGTTGACTGTTTGCTTCTCTTTGCACTCCATCCTCCTCCACATGTCCGAGGCCTGCAGGCTGCACATGTTTTGTAAGAATTTTTGTTTTTATATATGAAAACATTTCTGTGGTGACGGATGGATCGTCTTTGAAAACCTGTGTGAGAAAAACATGAAATAAAAAAACACAGAGACTACATCTTTGACTCCTGTCTTATGTTTTGTAATAGTTCAATCATTCACTAGAAAGTAAAAAACCTCAGATAAAATACATTGTCTTAAACCCTCAGACATTGAATCCCCCCAAAAAAACTCAACCTTTGACCTCTGAGAGGAGGGGAACAGAAAAACCTTCGCTGCATGAGGCCATTAACTGTCAATCTACAAAATAAATCAACCTTATTTCACGACGTATCTTCAAAACCGGTGACTTAATGTGACTTTTATTTTGGAAAAAAGTTGGAGGAATTGCATTAATTTGCTAAATAACCCCCTCATAGAGAACAGTTGCTCTATTATTGGATTCTAACGCCTTAAAGGTAGGGTAGGTAATTTTGGAGAAACCAGCTCGAGTGCGCTAGAATTTGAAAATACACAACCGGAAAAAATCTGCCCCTTCCTTCAGACTTCCTTACAGAGCCCCTCCTCCAACACACACGAATGCGCACATGACCAATGAGGGCACGAGATAAGTTTGTGCACAGATGGAAGGCTGACAGGCAGGTAGGCCATCCAGTTATTTTAGCCGGGCCGGCTAAAATTATTGGTCGTGCTTTTTACAGAACCACGGCTTCCACAGATGACATTTTTTTATGGATTTTTTGTCAAAGCACTTAAGATATTCATTGCTATCGGGATGTTAAGAGCATTCCATGGAATAAAACAAAAAGTGTATCTCGAGCCGGTTTCTCAAACTTACCTATCCTACCTTTAAATGAGTCTTAAACCCTTGCTAGAGAGGTATAAAATGACAGTATTTATTCAAGTAATGCATGGATTAATTAAATGATTATGTCACCCAAACATATCTGATCACTCACCTCTCGTTGTGTTAAGCCTCTGGTTTTACCTGCAGTACTCAATGTCATTATTTGTTTAATTTAAACTACTAAAAATGACCTTATAATAGATTGTTTTGGTACCAAGGTGTTTTGAATACTTAGATTAAAAGTGGCAATGATTTTGAAAGAAATGCCTCTACAGAATTTGTAAAGCTATCTTTTTTAAAGGTGAGCACTAACATCCCTCTTGACTGTACAGGGGTGGAGACAGAGACATATATCTAATTATCTACAAGACGCAATTAACTGCATGGCTAGACACCCCCTAAAGGTCATTTTGGGTGAAGTGACCCTTTAAATCCCAAATTTGAGGGGTCACATGATAATTAGATGGACAGGAAACAAAAGAAAATGTATGTTGCAGAAAAGTATTGAAATATGTCATAGATCCTAAAATGCTGGATAGTTTCCCCTCTTTGGTCCTTAAGGGGTATTTCATATTAAACCATACAACAAGAAACAATATTTATTTTGGATTAAGAGTGCTCATAACTCATGTCCACCACATTAATCTGGAGATGAGGGGCGACGTGTACCCCCTGCCTCGGGGTCAAAAGCCAAAAATGTTGGGCGGGTGTTAAAAGAGTACAATATGGTAATATTCAGATCAAGTAAAAGTACAAATATTACACTGTACACACTCCATTGAGTAAAAGCACTGCAATGGAGATGCGATTAAGCAAAATAAAATATGCAAATGAACCAAAAGCATACAAAATAAGAGAAATTATTTTTACTATTAGCCTATAGATAATAGTTTCATATTATGTTATCTATGTACTGTAGGCATGGACATTAGATTAGATAAGATATCATTTATTTATCCCAAATTGGGAAATTGTTTTGTTACAGCAGCAGGTAAATGCACGAGTAAACAATAAAACAAGAAATTAACAGTAAATGTATACAGTAAAAATATATATCTATAGATTAGGTAAGTATAGAGCATGATTGCACTGTTGGAGCCAAATGTAACTATTTGATATTTGTTTTGGAAGTTAAATGTATATTAATGCACCCTGTTTTATATATAATACATTTGGTGTGTACTTTGTAACATATCTGTCAATTAAGTTGTGTAAAAGTACAACATTTGGCACAGATGCAATACAAGTATTCAGGATATGGTTAATTAAACTACCTCAATGTTTTACTACAGAAAGCCTGCAGTACTTGAGTTAAAGTACTTCGTTACTTCCCTTTATTGATAAGCAGCAGATCTCAGTTCCTCCCCCTGAGCTTCAAAACACGAGTCACATGACCTGTGTGCACTTCCTGTTTATTTCCGAGGAGAACGACCTGCAGTGGTTACATACTTTAGTTTAAATGTAGTTTATATTTTGCTCCAAACTGAGGGGGTTTAACTTTTAACATATAAACAGTGTGTTTTTTTTAACAGGATGAACATGGGACTACTTTCTTGTGTTGTTCCGCTGCTGCTGCTGCTGTGTGGAGCGGCTCCTCTGGAAGCGGCGCCCGCTAAAAGCAGCTACCTGCCGGGCACAGGTGAGAGGAAACCCCGCTAATGAACTCTGGAGGTGGAGGTGTAGAAGTTTATTTGTGTGTCTTTTTGTTGAATGTATAAGACTGCACAGAGTACAATGTTCAGAGTAAATGGACATTCATTGTTTCTCTGCCAGATGATGAACAATATGAGGATTCAGTTGTAAAAGTCGTTTTTTTAAATGAAAATTAGTGCTTTTTGTTTGATGGCATGCACGCCGAATTAACCCTAAGATATTGTTTATTTATATTACTTGTTAATTTGTTCTATGGGAGTTGCATATTCAATATAAATGATCATTAACCAATTAATTAACTGTTTTTTAAATGGAGTTTGGCCAGAAACTCTCCTGACATGTAATTTAATGGTTTGAATTTTTATTTTTTTACTTTTTATTAATTGTAAAACAGGCTTTTGGAGTTTGTTTTATAACTTAACATGAATCAAATAAATGATACAATTAATTTGTCATCTTAAAGGTGGGGTAGGTCATTTTGGAGAAACCAGCTCGAGTGGCTAGAATTTGAAAATACACAACCGGAACAAATGTGCCACTTCCTTACAGAGCCCCTCCTCCAACACACACGAACGCGCACATGACCAATGAGGGCACGAGATAAGTTTGTGCACAGATGGAAGGCTGACAGGCAGGTAGGCCATCCAGTTATTTTAGCCGGGCCGGCTCAGATGATTGGTCGTACTTTTTACAGTATTACGGCTTCCACAGATGACATTTTTTTATGTATTTTTTGTCAAAGCACTTAAGATATTCATTGCTATCGGGATGTTAAGAGCATTCCATGGAATATAACAAAAAGTGTATCTCGAGCCGGTTTCTCAAACTTACCTACCCCACCTTTAAATATTTCAAAAATAGGACTTATGCCATTATTTAGTGCTCAACGAGCAAGTAAAAATAAATGAATTAATCAGCCCAACATAAAACTTAAAAGGAACTAAATGCGAAAAATACATGACATTATTTTAACACATTTTAACCCTCATTTGCATGTCTTTTAGTAAAAAATAAACCATGCACATGTCCTAATAAATATATATATTTCAGCGTCTCTTTCATCCCTTCTTCATAATGGAACTTAATGCAAAAATACATGCATTATTTATGAATTTGTTGCAACACATTTTAACCTTTACTTGCATGTGTTTGGTCAAAAATACCCCGTGCCCATCTCCATTCTCTACCACTCATTGCATCTGTTGTCATATTTAAATTGCTGTCCAACAACATTATCTCTGGGACCCAAAACCATGTTCTGAGCAGAGAATATGAACTGCTACCATCTAATGGGAGATCAATAAAGTCAGACTGAAGCATCCTTTGTGCTCCAGTCAATCCTCTCAGTAAATACAGAGCTGAGTCCAGATCAAACGCACGCTGAAGGCTCTTTGAGCAGGTTCTCTCAGTGATCGTGCTGTTAAATGTTTGTTTTTCATGTATTGTGTCTTGATATTTGTCTGTTGATGTTGGACATGGAGCTGCTGTGATGCAAGTCAAATTTCAGACTTGATCTGACCATTAAAGTAATATCGTATCTTATTTGTTATCCCCTCTGTCTCTTTGCTCCCTTATTCTTATCCACCTTCCCTCCATCTCTCTTCAGGAAGGTTCTGGCACATCACTGACCTCCACCTGGACCCCACCTACCACCTGACCCCGGACCCCACTAAGGTGTGCTTCTCCTCTAAAGGTGTCCCGGCCACCAACCCCGGCATGTTCGGAGACTTCCTGTGTGACTCGCCCTACCGCCTCATCCAGTCGGCCTTCGATCACATGGCAACGCTCACAAAGCCGGACGACTTCATCATATGGACCGGGTCAGTATGAGGATTCAGATTCAAGATTCAAAGGTTTTATTGTCATATGCACATAAGCTACAGGGTAGAAATGGCAATGAAACTCTTCTGACCTGAGCTCCTCCAACGATGCAACATATATAATAAAATAAAAAAATAAAAAATTGATATAAGTAAGCAGATTGGCACACCAATATAATTTAGTTTATGACGACAAAAAACAATACAACATTCAATTCTTCAGTCAGACAATGGTGGATAATGATGACCATTAACCATATTTTTACATAGTTTTGGTTTTGGTGGCAAAAAGTATATATACAAGTCAATAGAATATAGGATATGTACAAGAACAGAATATGCAGAGTTGAAGAGAAGCAAAGGACACGGCAGCCATCATCACCGGTCTAGATAGATTTTGTGATTTTATAGCTATTTCATGTCTCCTCTCCTTCTTGTTCTTCGACAAATATGACTTTTTCCTGCTTTCTTGACTAAAACTGGGACGAAACGCTTTGAATCTGTTGTGTGAAAATGAGCAGTGTGTGACGAACACTTCATAGAAACTAGAGCTGTGGTTTTGCAGCAGTTTCACATCCTTGTTTCTCACAGCTCAGTGTGTGATGTGTTCAAAATGTGAAACCACTTTGAGGTTTTTTAAAGAATGAGGAAGTCTCTATAAAGGAAGTCACTATGGATGTTTTTGACTTCCTCTTTTTTTTAGTAGTCATTGCTTTTGGCCTTTTTTTCACATAAACTCGAATGACCTTTAAAGAGTCCTCTCCTGCTGATGTTCAGGTGTATATCAGTATTTAGTGTCTCTACTTTAAAGAGTCCTCTCCTGCTGATGTTCAGGTGTATATCAGTATGTAGTGTCTTTACTTTAAAGAGTCCTCTCCTGCTGATGTTCAGGTGTATATCAGTATGTAGTGTCTCTACTTTAAAGAGTCCTCTCCTGATGATGTTCAGGTGTATATCAGTATGTAGTGTCTCTACTTTAAAGAGTCCTCTCCTGCTGATGTTCAGGTGTATATCAGTATGTAGTGTCTCTACTTTTAAAGAGTCCTCTCCTGATGATGTTCAGGTGTATATCAGTATGTAGTGTCTCTACTTTAAAGAGTCCTCTCCTGCTGATGTTCAGGTGTATATCAGTATGTAGTGTCTCTACTTTAAAGAGTCCTCTCCTGATGATGTTCAGGTGTATATCAGTATGTAGTGTCACTACTTTAAAGAGTCCTCTCCTGCTGATGTTCAGGTGTATATCAGTATGTAGTGTCTCTACTTTAAAGAGTCCTCTCCTGCTGATGTTCAGGTGTATATCAGTATGTAGTGTCTCTACTTTAAAGAGTCCTCTCCTGCTGATGTTCAGGTGTATATCAGTATGTAGTGTCTCTACTTTAAAGAGTCCTCTCCTGCTGATGTTCAGGTGTATATCAGTATGTAGTGTCTCTACTATCCAAAATAATAGGAAAAAGCTAGAAAATATAAACGAATTAATGCTAAAAAATGATAAAATGTGCATTAAATACTTGGATACAAGTGCAAAAACAACTTCTCGTTTCTCCACGTTTAGTTTCAGCTCTTGGAACAGTAGCATAAATAAACACTCTGTATTCTCTGGAGAGAAGTGCGTACTAATGTTCACTAAACTGTGATTACAAACATGAAGTCCCTGCAGCCAGCTCTCTGTTGATCAGCAGCTAATCCAGGAATGCATACATGCGTATTAACATACTTAAGAAAACACTTAATCCTTCACCCCAGGTAGTCTTTGCAAGTTTAAGTTACTGTGCAGGCAGATTTCTTGCTTCATTCCTTTGTTATTGAGCTCTGTAGCATGACTTTGCCTTTTCACTTGAGGAGGAAATGCACTGTGCTGTGGGAGTCATGATATTTCTGCAATATGTGTTGAGAAATCAGGGTTTTCTCCACACATATTGCAGAAATATCAGTCTATCGTTATTGCTGACTCATACAGCATATTCACAATTACAGTAAAACTTAAATATTTGAACTGGGAATCTTTTACTGTAACATTGAAAGCACCTGAATCCTTATATCATACTTTATTTCTATCAGTCTAAATATTATAGAACTGTATATATTTGAATTTATTCTCAGCCTATATTCCCAATATGTGGTCAGTTTATCAAAAATAATCCCTGTTTAGTGTGTCTGTAAATTCAAATAAATCTCCCAAACCTATTCTTATTCTGGTGGCTCATTTACTTGTGGGCTTATAGTGTTAATAAATAATTAATAATCAATATGTTTCCCTCCTCTCCCCCAGAGACAGTCCCCCTCACGTCCCTGCAGGCGAGCTCTCCACAGACCTGGTGGTCCAGGTGATCGGGAACATGACGGAGACAATCAGACAACACTTTCCCAACATCACCGTCTACCCCGCGCTGGGAAACCACGACTACTGGCCGCAGGTAACTTCGATTTAAAGGTCCCCTATTATGCAAAATCCACTTCTTCATGTCTCTTCTTCATCAACATGTGTCCCCTCTTCTTCATGTCTCTTCTACATCAACATGTGTCCCCTCTTCTTCATGTCTCTTCTACATCAACATGTGTCCCCTCTTCTTCATGTCTCTTCTACATCAACATGTGTCCCCTCTTCTTCATGTCTCTTCTACATCAATATGTGTCCCCTCTTCTTCATGTCTCTTCTACATCAACATGTGTCCCCTCTTCTCCATGTCTCTTCTACATCAACATGTGTCCCCTCTTCTTCATGTCTCTTCTACATCAACATGTGTCCCCTCTTCTTCATGTCTCTTCTACATCAACATGTGTCCCCTCTTCTTCATGTCTCTTCTACATCAACATGTGTCCCCTCTTCTTCATGTCTCTTCTTCATCAACATGTGCCCCCTCTTCTTCATGTCTCTTCTACATCAACATGTGTCCCCTCTTCTTCATGTCTCTTCTACATCAACATGTGTCCCCTCTTCTTCATGTCTCTTCTACATCAACATGTGTCCCCTCTTCTTCATGTCTCTTCTACATCAACATGTGTCCCCTCTTCTTCATGTCTCTTCTACATCAACATGTGTCCCCTCTTCTTCATGTCTCTTCTACATCAACATGTGTCCCCTCTTCTTCATGTCTCTTCTACATCAACATGTGTCCCCTCTTCTTCATGTCTCTTCTACATCAACATGTGTCCCCTCTTCTTCATGTCTCTTCTACATCAACATGTGTCCCCTCTTCTTCATGTCTCTTCTACATCAACATGTGTCCCCTCTTCTTCATGTCTCTTCTACATCAACATGTGTCCCCTCTTCTCCATGTCTCTTCTACATCAACATGTGTCCCCTCTTCTCCATGTCTCTTCTACATCAACATGTGTCCCCTCTTCTTCATGTCTCTTCTACATCAACATGTGTCCCCTCTTCTTCATGTCTCTTCTACATCAACATGTGTCCCCTCTTCTTCATGTCTCCCTCTACATCAACATGTGTCCCCTCTTCTTCATGTCTCTTCTACATCAACATGTGTCCCCTCTTCTTCATGTCTCTTCTACATCAACATGTGTCCCCTCTTCTTCATGTCTCTTCTACATCAACATGTGTCCCCTCTTCTTCATGTCTCTTCTACATCAACATGTGTCCCCTCTTCTTCATGTCTCTTCTACATCAACATGTGTCCCCTCTTCTTCATGTCTCTTCTACATCAACATGTGTCCCCTCTTCTTCATGTCTCTTCTACATCAATATGTGTCCCCTCTTCTTCATGTCTCTTCTACATCAACATGTGTCCCCTCTTCTTCATGTCTCTTCTACATCAACATGTGTCCCCTCTTCTCCATGTCTCTTCTACATCAACATGTGTCCCCTCTTCTTCATGTCTCTTCTACATCAATATGTGTCCCCTCTTCTTCATGTCTCTTCTACATCAATATGTGTCCTCTCTTCTCCATGTCTCTTCTACATCAACATGTGTCCCCTCTTCTTCATGTCTCTTCTACATAAACATGTGTCCCCTCTTCTTCATGTCTCTTCTACATCAACATGTGTCCCCTCTTCTTCATGTCTCTTCTACATCAACATGTGTCCCCTCTTCTTCATGTCTCTTCTACATCAACATGTGTCCCCTCTTCTTCATGTCTCTTCTACATCAACATGTGTCCCCTCTTCTTCATGTCTCTTCTACATCAACATGTGTCCCCTCTTCTTCATGTCTCTTCTACATCAACACGTGTCCCCTCTTCTCCATGTCTCTTCTACATCAACATGTGTCCCCTCTTCTTCATGTCTCTTCTACATCAACATGTGTTCCCCTCTTCTTCATGTCTCCTCTACATCAACATGTGTCCCCTCTTCTTCATGTCTCTTCTACATCAACATGTGTCCCCTCTTCTTCATGTCTCTTCTACATCAATATGTGTCCCCTCTTCTTCATGTCTCTTCTACATCAACATGTGTCCCCTCTTCTTCATGTCTCTTCTACATCAACATGTGTCCCCTCTTCTCCATGTCTCTTCTACATCAACATGTGTCCCCTCTTCTTCATGTCTCTTCTACATCAACATGTGTCCCCTCTTCTTCATGTCTCCTCTACATCAACATGTGTCCCCTCTTCTTCATGTCTCTTCTACATCAACATGTGTCCCCTCTTCTTCATGTCTCTTCTACATCAACATGTGTCCCCTCTTCTTCATGTCTCTTCTACATCAGCATGTGTCCCCTCTTCTTCATGTCTCTTCTACATCAATATGTGTCCCCTCTTCTTCATGTCTCTTCTACATCAACATGTGTCCCCTCTTCTTCATGTCTCTTCTACATCAGCATGTGTCCCCTCTTCTTCATGTCTCTTCTACATCAACATGTGTCCCCTCTTCTTCATGTCTCTTCTACATCAATATGTGTCCCCTCTTCTTCATGTCTCTTCTACATAAACATGTGTCCCCTCTTCTTCATGTCTCTTCTACATCAATATGTGTCCCCTCTTCTTCATGTCTCTTCTACATCAACATGTGTCCCCTCTTCTTCATGTCTCTTCTACATCAACATGTGTCCCCTCTTCTTCATGTCTCTTCTTCATCAACATGTGTCCCCTCTTCTTCATGTCTCTCCTACATCAACATGTGTCCCCTCTTCTTCATGTCTCTTCTACATCAACATGTGTCCCCTCTTCTTCATGTCTCTTCTACATCAACATGTGTCCCCTCTTCTTCATGTCTCTTCTTCATCAACATGTGTCCCCTCTTCTTCATGTCTCTTCTACATCACCATGTGTCCCCTCTTCTTCATGTCTCTTCTACATCACCATGTGTCCCCTCTTCTTCATGTCTCTTCTTCATCAACATGTGTCCCCTCTTCTTCATGTCTCTTCTACATCACCATGTGTCCCCTCTGTGTAAAGAGACTCTGAAAGTTTCAGGAACAAAGATTCTCTCTCTTTTTGTCCTGATCCATTTATATAAAAACCTGTCTGAAAATGAGATGATCAGATTTTGGCCACTTTATGATGTCATAACGATGTTTTGTCTTGTGTAACCATTAGCCAATCAGCAACCAAGGTAACCCCCCCCCCCCCCCCCCCCACCTTATCACCTGAATCTCCTCCTAGAGCACCATTGAGTTCTTTGTAACCAAATCTCTCTCAGAGGGGCGTGGGGAGGGGCTCCTTATTTTCATCTAAAGTAACAGACAGAGAATCAGCACTTTTGAAACAGGGCTGAAACAGAGGGGATTATGGGATGCTGCAATGATCTGTTTGGTGTTTCAGCCAATCAGAGACAGGTTCTGTATATATCTGAGACCTGTGATATATTGATGAAAAACAGTTTAATAGCAGACCTTTAAGATCCTCATACGGCACGCAATGGCAAAAAGGAGGAGGTGTACGAGTTTAGCTCAGTTTTACCCCATTATCACTTTTTACTCCGTTTCACCAGATTTTAAAACAGGTGGAGGAAAGCTTTTCTGATACTCTTTGATTCTCTAGATCAATTTGTATGTGCCTTTTTTTACTATTTTTTAGATACAGATATCTTTACATTTGAGCATTTTCAAGGCAAATATTTAAGCTATATCTAAGAGTGTGTTCTTTTCGACATCTTATTTCCATCTAATGTTAATATTTGCAAATTGATATCAGTCAAAACTTAATATCCGATTCTTAATGTAGAAAAAAATGTTAATTAATATTGAAGTGATTGCATTTTAGGAAAGCATTTTTTGGTATTTCAACATGTATATTGTCTACTTTTTTAATGCTGTTTTATTTCTATGTTTAGACGTTTACATTTTAGAATTGTTTATTTCTTCCCTTTTAATTTCTCTTATGTGCAATGCCTTGTCTTTTATGCTGCTGCAACGCAAAAATGTCCCAAATTGGGATCAATAAAGTACATCTTCTCTTATCTTATCTTAAATGCTGATTCACATCCGTAGTGTCTCGGCAGGTGAAGACATTTAATGATCTGCTGCAAAACGTATATATTTACCTCTTTCTGTGCGTGGTTGTTTTAGGACCAGATGCCGACCTCCACTAACGCCGTGTACCGAGCTGCTGCAGAGCTGTGGAGGCCGTGGCTGCAGAATGAAGCTCTGCTCACTCTCTCTCAGGGTAACAGGTCTCCTTTAATCCTCACACACACACAACATGGTTTGAATCCATTTATCTAACCCTCTGTTGGGAAAATACTGAATGTACTCTTCCAATATCAGAGTACACGTGATAACAAAGGTATCCCAACTGTAGCTGTGTTCATGACAGGATGTATGATTACCTAGAAGAGCATCAGGACTGTTTTAGGCATATGATAGCTATGTGATTAACATGATGATTCAGCCTCTATGGAGATAGACATATGACAAGCATGCTCATTTCTGACGTGGAGCTAATCTGAAGTAAACATTGAATACTGCTTTATATTCCTCCATCTTGTGACTGTGTAACTCCCTCTCTTGGATATCTGAAGGACACTGTTCAGGAACTAGTTTGCAAACATATAAAACATATTCAGGTCCAATTTTTAAATGTCCTGCTTTGAAATAGCTACTTAACTTTAACCAAAGAAAAAGAGTCTCTTTGATGATTGATCACGCTGTCGATCAGCTCACAATAACTGTCTTTTGTCAGGTTTTATTTTCTGGTTTTGTCCCCTTCCTTCAGGAGGTTTTTACTCCCAGCTGGTGAAGCCTGGTCTGCGGGTCGTCAGTCTGAACACCATCCTCTACTACGGTCCTAATAAAGTGACGGAAAACATGACGGACCCTGCAGGACAGTTCGAGTGGCTCGAGAAGACTCTGCAGAAAGCTGCTCAGAGTCTGGAGAAGGTCTGATATATGTTCTGTCTTTACATCTTGAACCCTGTTTCCACTTTAAAGGTCTCCTATTATACTGTTTTTAGGCGTATATTATAGGTCTCAGATATATAAAAAACATGTAATATGATATGTTTTGCTCAAAATACCAAACAGATCACCCATTCTAGCCTCAGATCCCTCTATTTCAGCCCTGTTAGAGAATTGCTGATTCTGGGTCTGTAGCATTAAAGGTCCCCTATTATACTGTTTTTCATCAATATATCACAGGTCTCAGATATATACAAAAACATGTCTCTGAAGTGTTTGGCTCCAAACACCAAACAGATCATTGCAGCATTACCCATAATCCCCTCTGTTTCAGCCCTGTTTCCAAAGTGCTGATTCTCTGTCTGTTACTTTAGATGAAAATAAGGAGCCCTCCCCACGCCCCTCTGAGAGACATTTGGTTACAAAAACACAATGGTGCTCTAGGAGGAGATTCAGGTGATAAGGTGGGGGGGGGGGGGGGTTACCTTGGTTGGTGATTGGCTAATGGTTACACAAGACAAAAAAATAGTTATGACATCATAAAGTGGCCAAAATCTGATCAGCTCATTTTCAGACAGGTTTTTATAGAAATGGATCAGGACAAAAAGAGAGAGAATCTTTGTTCCTGAAACTTTCAGAGTCTCTTTATACAGAGGGGACACATGTTGATGAAGAAGAGACATGAAGAAGAGGGGACACATGTTGATGTAGAAGAGACATGAAGAAGAGGGGACACATGTTGATGAAGAAGAGACATGAAGAAGAGGGGGACACATGTTGATGTAGAAGAGACATGAAGAAGAGGGGACACATGTTGATGAAGAAGAGACATGAAGAAGAGGGGACACATGTTGATGTAGAAGAGACATGAAGAAGAGGGGACACATGTTGATGTAGAAGAGACATGAAGAAGAGGGGACACATGTTGATGTAGAAGAGACATGAAGAAGAGGGGACACATGTTGATGTAGAAGAGACATGAAGAAGAGGGGACACATGTTGATGAAGAAGAGACATGAAGAAGAGGGGACACATGTTGATGTAGAAGAGACATGAAGAAGAGGGGACACATGTTGATGTAGAAGAGACATGAAGAAGAGGGGACACATGTTGATGTAGAAGAGACATGAAGAAGAGGGGACACGTGTTGATGTAGAAGAGACATGAAGAAGAGGGGACACATGTTGATGTAGAAGAGACATGAAGAAGAGGGGACACATGTTGATGTAGAAGAGACATGAAGAAGAGGGGACACATGTTGATGAAGAAGAGACATGAAGAAGAGGGGACACATGTTGATGTAGAAGAGACATGAAGAAGAGGTGACACATGTTGATGTAGAAGAGACATGAAGAAGAGGGGACACATGTTGATGTAGAAGAGACATGAAGAAGAGGGGACACATGTTGATGTAGAAGAGACATGAAGAAGAGGGGACACATGTTGATGTAGAAGAGACGTGAAGAAGAGGGGACACATGTTGATGTAGAAGAGACATGGAGAAGAGGATTTTGCATAATAGATGACCTTTCAAAAAAAACAGCTAAATGCTGCCGTGATGAAACGCCATATTATTTTTGAACACAAAACCACATCAAGGATTATTTCTGAAACAGTATGGAGCTCAAACTATTTTTCTCTTGCGGGTTATACCACAAGGTGAGTTCCTTTTTTTATATCCTGCTTTTTACACATACTCTCTCCAGTACAGGTTAGCTCCGAGTGTTAGCGATGCTTGCTAATGTAAACAAAGACCATATTGCGTCCAAAACACGTCGGGCATTGTTTCTGATAGCGACGTTTCTGATAGGGCCGTGGGTGTAAAGCCAACCCACATTTCAGATATTCCGTCATATCGGACGCAAATCTAGATCAGCTCCGTTGTAGCCCCGTTTTTAGAGATTTGGATACGGACGGTTGAGTTCCCTGACACACCGGGGACACACATTAGTGTATAAAGGACATTAAAAAGTGCATTTTGCGTGATAGGAGACCTTTAAGACTTGTGATTAAATGTGTGTGTCTTCTTGTTGCTTCAGGTGTACATCATCGCTCATGTGCCGGTGGGTTACCTCCCCTGGGTCAGAAACACCACGGCGGTGAGAGAGAAACACAACGAGCGGCTGGTCTCCATCTTCAGGAAGCACAGTGATGTCATCGCGGGACATTTCTACGGACACACACACCGGGACAGCATCATGGTGCTGCTGGACCAACAAGGTGAGTCATAACTGGGTTTGCAGTTCATTTATTTATTTGGTTTGTTATTTTATCCTTTCTTGAATATCATTTACCTTTCTTATGCATTTGTTTGTTTATTTGTTTATTTACAGTTTATTATGTTAATAATTTAGTATTTGGGAGAAGGGGTTGGATTTAAATAAGTGTAAACTTCTTCCCACCCCTTTTTGGATGTGTAATTAAGTAGATTATTTGTTTATATATAATTTAGAATCAGTCATATTTTTGTATATCAATTTGACACAGCTTAAAGGTGGGGTAGGTAATTCACTTCAGAAACACTTTTTGTTATATTCCATGGAATGCTCTTAACATCCCGATAGCAATGAATACATTAAATGCTTTGACAATAAATACATAAAATATTTCATCTGTGGAAGCCGCTGTAAAAAGCACGACCAATCATCTGAGCCGGCCCGGCTAAAATAACTGGATGGCCTACCTGCCTGTCAGCCTTCCATCTGTGCACAAACTTATCTCGTGCCCTCATTGGTCATGTGTGCGTTCGTGTGTGTTGGAGGAGGGGCTCTGTAAGGAAGTCTGAAGGAAGAGGCAGATTTTTTCCGGTTGTGTATTTTCAAATTCTAGCGCACTCGAGCTGGTTTCTCCAAAATTACCTACCCCAACTTTAAGTTTGTATTGTATAATAATTCTCATGTTACATTTTTGTATTATTGTTCTAAATCAAATCAAAACAAAACATTATCTTGATTTGACTCTAAAGTACCAAAAGTTGATATTTTTGATGAATAAAACATAGAAAACGGTTGCATTTGATTCTGAGATAATTGACCTCCACCTAAGCAAATTTAGTCGTGTATATTTCTCAAAAATCAGACTGAAACTACTCGAAACATCGGCTTTTTGCAATGCAAGTCTGCTAAATGTACATATATTAGCTCTTCCAGAATTGTCCAGGCCGTATACTGTAGTATTCAAACGAAGCTCACTTGTTCCTGATGTAAGCATCCAATTGTACGATGAAAGAGGAACAAATAAAAGACCTGCTGACTTCTTAAAAGGAAGTCAAAAGGGATCCAGGACACATGCCTTCAGTGTTTGATGCAGCTGAATCCTGTGATATGTGTGTTTTCTCGCTCTGCAGGTAAACCGGTGAATTCTCTGTTTGTCTCTCCGGCCGTCACACCAATCAAAAGTCTTTTGGAGCCGTTCTCCAACAACCCAGCTTTCCGCATGTACCTGTACGACACCGAGGACTTCTCCATGCAGGTGAGGAGCTCCAGGCTACACAAACACAACCAGCAAACTGTTCCAGCTAAATAAACTAATTAAACAACTAAATACAAGTTTGTTTGAGGCCTCTAGTGTGATCCTTTTATGTTTTTCTTATCACAATGAAACCTTATTGAGTTGAAAAGCTATTTTCTGAGATCTGAGTTTGCAGGCATTTTGACAAAAATTCAGGTCCAACCAAAAATGTCTGAACTGCAACATGCACTCTTAACTTTTACTCTACCTGCAATACACTAACAAAAAACAACGCAAAAGGCATAGGTAACTATTTTTGGTTGCTTTTCCCGTGTTAAAACATCTGCTTAGAACTGCTTTTTTGTTCAAAAAAAGGTTACACTAATAATAATAAAACTTTGGTAAAGGGCTTTAGAGTTATCCTTCATTTTTTTATAACTCAATGAAACCTTGTTTGACCTTATTCTAAAAAGCAATTCTGAGTTCGCAAACATTAACAATATTCAGGTCCAAATTGAAATGTCCTTCTTTGAAATACTTACTTAACTTTAACCAAAGACAGAAGTCTCTTTGATGATTTACCACGCTGTCAATCAGCTCACAATAACTGTGTTGTTTGGTATTCAAAATGTCTCTTTCTCTCCCTCTCTCCCTTCTAACGGCTCTGTTCTCCCTGTGAAGGACATCTGGCAGTACTTTCTGAATCTGACGGAGGCCAACGAGAGACAAAGTGCTGCGTGGAGGCGGGAGTACGTCCTGAGGGAGGCGTTCCGATTGGCCGACCTGAAGCCGCTCAGCCTTTTGAAGCTGGGTCTGAGCTTCATGGAGCAGAGCACAGCCTTCGATTCTTACTTCAAACACTTCATGGTGGGCTACGACAGCAGCTTCACCTGCGGGGGGGCGTGTAAGATCAGCCAGGTGTGTGCCATGCTCCACCTGGACCAGCTGTCATACTCCAGATGTGTGGAGAAGGGAGGAAGATCCAAGAGGAGGGATTCATCTCAGGGGCCACTTTTTTAGATATTTCTCACTCTGCAGGAATCATGAGAAGGGCCTTCTGGTATCAAAGCTATCCAGATTATAAACTGCCCGATTACACAACTAATAAGGTATTTAATACAGAGAACATTAAGACATATATATTGATTTAGATGTGTGGAGAAAGGAGACATTTAGATGTACATTTTGTTAAAAGAAAACAAATATATATGTTAATAATTTAGTTTTTGGGAGAGGGGGTGGGATTAAATAAGTGTTAACTTCTTCCCACCCCGTTTCAGATGTGTAATTAGGTAGTTCATTTGTTTATATATAATTTGTTACCGCTTAAGTTTGTACAATATCATCATTCTCATGTTTAATTTCATTATTATTTTGTTTTACACATTCGAATGAAATCAAATCAAATCAAAAGGGAGGATGGTAGCATGGAGGAAGATCTAAGAGGAGAGATTCAACTCAGGGGCCACTTTTTAGATATTTGTTACTCTGCAGGAGTCATGAGAAGGGCCTTAAACTGGCTCTGCTGTTACCAAAAATCCATTAGGAGGAGTAGGAGTAGGAGTAGTAGTATTATCATAAAGAGGAAATACTCTAAGAACTTTTATGGGACAATAATATCTTTCTAATCTTAAGTTTTAGACCTTTTTAGAGTTAAAACATTCCACTTAATCATCAAATCAGGAGGGATTCATCTCAGGGGTCACTTTTTTGGATATTTGGTTCTCTGCAGGAATCATGAGAAGGGCCTACAGTATATATATATATATATACATACTGGTATACTGGCGGCGTATTTTGCTTTTACTGTTTATTTTATTAAATGTAGATATTAGTTACTTCTGGTCGGTTCCAGCCTCCAAGTGGCTTTGCTGTTACCAAAAATCCATCCTACAATTTACAGTTTCTTTTCTTACTGTTCAGGCATCAAAAGTTTTCCAAATGGCATCTAGATGACAATTTGCACTGTTTCCACATTCTTCGGTTAAGGAGGGATTTATCTAAGGAAAATATTGTTTGTGGAGTTTTGAAAAAACTATTTTTAACTTTCTGGAATAATGAATGGGATGTAGAATTGGTTCTCAAAACATTTTTTTGTATTAAACATGCATTTTACCTTCTGGTATCAAAGCATAAACTGCTGAATTACACAATAAATAAGGTATGTAATACAGAGAACATTAAAGGTGGGGTAGGTAAGTTTGAGAAACCGGCTCGAGATCGCTAGAATTTGAAAATACACAACCGGAGAAAATCTGCCACTTCCTTATAGAGCCCCTCCTCCAACACACACGAACGCACACATGACCAATGAGGGCACGAGATAAGTTTGTGCACAGATGGAAGGCTGACAGGCAGGTAGGCCATCCAGTTATTTTAGCCGGGCCGGCTCAGATGATTGGTCGTGCTTTTTACAGTACTACGGCTTCTACAGATGATATTTTTTTATGTATTTTTTGTCAAAGCACTTCAGATATTCATTGCTATCGGGATGTCAAGAGCATTCCATGGAATATAACAAGTGTATCTCGAGCCGGTTTCTCAAACTTACCTACCCTACCTTTAACTGACAGACATATTACAAATAGATTGATTTATATCAAAATGCATTTAAAAAAAGTCATCTTACTAGAGAAAAGAAGACTCATTTAGATTTAGATTTTTACTTTTTTTAACTGATACAATGAACTGCAGCTGCTGCTTAGGACTTTACATCCAGATTTAGATATTTCATTTTATTGCACATATTATCTTCAGTAATTTTCACTTTGGAATACATATTAAACAACTGAATAAGCAGTTAAATATAGTGGAAATACACAGATATAATGTAAAAAATACAAGTTTTATAGATATCCTGATCATGGTTGCAACCTTAAACATTATGTCCTCTAACTCTTCTGCTTATCACCTTTCTTTAAAGGAGATCACTTTAAAGGAAAGTCGATTCAAATGTACGATTTTTAAGGGATTTGTCTCAGAGGTCACAATTACTTTTAATAAATATGTTTGTACTTGAATCATGAAATGGTTATAATGCACTGTTTGCATTATGTGAAAATATAATAACTATACCTTACACATGCTGTTACATAAACAATGGAACATGAGTGAAGGACATATGATCGCATTATGATTTTAAATGTGAAGTTATTTTTTCTACTTAATAAAGATCTTTATTCCAACACCGTGTTTACAGCCATTCTGTTTCAGAGCTTAACCTCGGCGCTGTTGCTAGGCAGAAAGTCACAGTAAACAAACGCTGAACAGTTTCTCTCTTTTCTCAGCAAACTAACCTCATCTGACCCTCTCTCTCTTCAGCTTCACCATCCCATTCTCCTCCTGTTCAAACCTTCCAGAAAGTCCTCTCCTTTCTCAGCCACCAACTAAAGCATCCTCCCCCTCCACCCCTCCCTCTCCAGCTCTTTTGTCCCCCTCCTATTGTTGATTACTCGTCTCCTAAAGCTCCACTGAAAAGCTGTTTTTTTATTAAAATGCATCGACTAAAGTCACCAGAAGTTGGCCTGCAATAGAAATTATCCAAATGATGCTGACTCATTCTAGAGTAAATCATAGTGGGTGTGAAGTGGCAGGAAAAGCCGGGAAAACACATTTACACAAAATAAAACAATGTATTTTAAGACTATACTGCATTTCTTGTGAATAATTGGATAACAATATATATTCCAAACCCTATAATTCGGAGTAAAATGACGTTAAAGTGTTCCCAGCTCAAACATATATACAAATTGTTCTGGGTAATCCCAAGAAAACTAAAACCCCCTTTCCACATTTTTTAAAGAAAATTGTAGTCTCTGTATTTGTCCTAGAGGGGGTACATTAAATTGTTACAGAAATAAAGATAAAATGAAAACTAATAGAGTAGACTTGCATATTAAATAGTGGCATGCACACTATTAAATAAAATCACATGGACATTTCTAACAGGATGAAACAAACAAACAAACACTAACAAGCTAAAACACTACAATCATCCATAATCTTGAATAATTTGAAACAACATTTGGATATATGTATTTGTTCTGCACATGATTTGAAGCTTATTGGATTCAACTAATTCTTTACATTTCAATATTTTTCTTTTTATTTGATCACTTTTAAGTTGGTTTGATCTTTAGAAGTTGTTGTTTTTCAAGACTTCAGATGGAGAAAAGAGACTTAGTTTAGACAAAGTGTCTCTGTGCATGTCTCCCACAGAAGTCCTGCCAGGAACGCTTCTCAGGAACGTCAGGTAACGCTGTTTCTCTATGAGTTGTTGTTTTTCTTTAAACTTCAGAAAGAAGAGAGACACAGAGTTTAGAAAGTTCCTGCAGCAGTGAATCTCTCTCCTGTTTGTGAAGTCTCTGCCCTCATGTGCCCCCATGCTGTTATTATTCCACACTGAAAGCCTAACAGCTCGTAGCCGTGGCGACGGAGCCGCCAGTGGGCATGGCGATGGAGAGGACTCCCATCTCCACGGAAACGACAGTTAAGCTCCTCTGAATCCATCTCTGAGGTCACCGCTCCACCAAACTCCATTTAGGTGACTTTTATATATCACAGTCTGAAAAACCAAGCATATTTAAAGATATCGCCCGTTTATTGTTAGTTTTAATAATGCGAATGTATTCAGGGATGTTTACAGTGTTACAGCAAAGACACAGTGCAGATAAAAGTTACATTTGTATATTAAATAAAGAGGAAAGCACACGTTTATGATATAAAATCTAATACAACATCTGAGAACTTGACTGTGAAAGCGTTAATGCAGAAGTTTTAAATAGGGAAAATGCATTTGTTTGAGAATGAGTAAGCATACGTCCAGAGACTATCAGAGTTATTAAACAAATGTTTTATACAGTGTTGCTGTTTAACGTGTCTCACATGCATTTCAATTCATCAAGACGTCTCTCTGTTTTGTGATTCTTCGTAAACTGTGGAGGGAAGCCAGAAAAACAAAGACTTCCTCAGGATTAAAAGTTGACACTGGGTGAGTAACTGATGTGCAGACAGTCATTTTGGGGTGGAATGTTCCTTCTATGACACTTTCCACCTCTTCAAAATGAAAAGTTGCGAAGAATGAAAAAATCGTTACTATTGTGTGTGTGTGTGTGTGTGTGTGTGTGTGTGTGTGTGTGTGTGTGTGTGTGTGTGTGTGTGTGTGTGTGTGTGTGTGTGTGTGTGTGTGTGTGTGTGTGTGTGTGTGTGTGTGTGTGTGTGTGTGTGTGTGTGTGTGTGTGTGTGTGTGTGTAAATTAATCTGAGGATTACTGTCAGGACATTATAGCAACTGCCCCTCCTGTGGAGCTGGAATCTGAGTGTGTGTGTGTGTGTGTTTTCTTTGAACCATTAACTTTTAGACTTGAGTTTGCCTAATCCCTTTTAACGTCTTCAAGTTTGAAACACTGTCCCTCTCTTAAGTTCTAATATCATTAGTGTCTCATCTAATTGATGTCATTCCTGCAGTTTTGAAGCTCACTTGAGCCCTAATGGCCGCCAGTGACTTCACAACAAGAGGAGGAATTCATATTCTATATATATTATATATACACTTAGGTTGCAGACCTATAAAAGCACACTTACTCTTCGGTTCACAGGGTATTTGTCTCAATAGTCATATTTAGTCATATTTCCTTTTTTTTTAAATCACATTTTCTGACTCTGCCAGAATCGTAATTTCCATATGACTTCCTATATCAGAAGTTATCCAGATGCAGTCTAGAAAACTAATTGTGCACTTCCACACTAAATTAGGAGTCAGTATCGATATGTAATCAATACTGTGGACAATACACACAGGAGCAGTCTTTCCAATTAATTAATTCACATTAATATAAGTCAACACCTCCCAGAGAGAATGCTTAGTCCTGAGTAAATACAAAGATCTAAGTGGATTTTCTTAAATTACTTAATTAGGACCTCTCATGAACTAATGCTCACTCGAGTGTTACAACCCCCTCCACACTATGTCGTAATTTAGATGCAGACGAGTTTCTTTGTCTACTTTTAACTCAGTAAGAATAAATTAGCGGTGTCTAGATGAAATGTCCAGGTTCATTTGGGCTTAATGTCATTGCAAAGTATTTTCTTTTTCGTAGATAGATCAGATTTAATTAATGTCTGTGGTCCAATGCTAACGCCGGCCGACACACTCCCTATTAACTGCTTATGTTTCCACAAGCATGTCTTTTCTTTTAACTTCTGTTGTTTTAAGATAATTTCCAGCAAAATACAGAACAATTTGCACATAGCCTATGCATCACTTACTGTGTAATTGCATGTTCTAATTCACATACAACTGTTAAAGGTTTACATTTAAAGTCATATTTACGCATTTGTGGCAGTATTTGTACACGTGGAAAGACCTTTGAACAGTCATATTTATGCATTTTTACACAAGAAATGCCCTTTGCTTATTTAAGATGCATGGTTTGTGGATTGTCTTCTGTCCGTTACAAATATCATCGTGCAAAAACGTTCAGACGATCAGCTGAAACCTTT